ATAACTTTGTAATTTTCAATTTTTCAATACTGGTTAAAAGTAATTGCACTTAATTAAAGGTTAATTTTGAATTTATTTCCATTTTTAGGTCATATATTAGATGCGTATTTCCAGAATTCTTTTATTTTTATTAACTATCATAATTTTAATTATTGGCCTATTGTTTTTGATATCCATATATAACCTAATTTTTTAGGCTATAATGTAAATTAAAAAAATAGGAAATATGTTAGAATCAAAAATTTTATTAGATCAAAGCTAATTTGAAATGAGAGTTTACTTAATAGAATATTTCCACCATTTGGAAATATCAAATTATAAAACTTTTTTGATGACGATTAGCCTGGGAATTTCACATAAAAAATATGAGATATCAATAAAAAAGTATGGATTAAACAATAACGATGTATTTGGCCACATAAATCCTATTAGATAAATAATCAATAAATCGTAGAATTAATTCTCAAATTACAATTCATATAGGATTTTTCTGGATTAACTTTGACCAATTTATAAGACAATAAAGTTATTTTAAAGACTTCAAAAAAAAAAGAGGGTATTATAAAATTTTCTTTTTTCTAATATTATATAACTCTCAAATTATTTAAGCATAACCTAATAAAATAAAATCACAAAATAGATTTGCAATTTCACAAAATAAGAAACTTTAAATTAGAAATTTATCAATTTTCATTGTGTCTTTAATTTATTAACCTTTTAAGTAATTTAATTCAAATCAATAGATAATCTATATTTAAATATATTTATGCTCTTTAATTAAAAATATAAATACCATTAGAATTATACTTTAACTAATTTAAAATAAATAGTACTTATTCTAAAGTATATAGTATTTTAGATTTTTTAGCTGATTCTTTTTTGACTTTTTAATGTCTAATAATCTAATTAAACCTTGAATTCTTCAATTTATAGATTTTTTCATTAAAAATATTGATATTAATTCATAAAATAAATATAAGATTTAAACAAATTAGTTAAAAATTTAATTAATATCATTTTTTAATTCCAACAATACAACAAATTACTTTTATGGGTTTTTCAGAATTGTTTGCTAATACAAATGGTTCATTTTTCAAAGTTATGCCATCTACTTAATTTTATGGAATAACATTTTATAAAAGTTTATCATAATAAACAACTCCTTAATAACCTTTTTTGAATCTTATATGCTATTATCTTATAAAAAAATACAATTTTCAGATTTTTTTTAAAATTAATTGGTCCAATCATTTTTTATGGATTGACTGTAAGTTCAAAGGATTAATAATAATATCCCTCTTAATTTTCTTAAGCTCTCAATTTATCAACTTTTAAATCACCTTCAGTTTAATGAATAAAAAAAGAGGGCAAAGAATATAAGAGATCTTAAAAGTTTTGTGTTTTGTAAATTTCATACTATTTAGCCTCTTTTCTTATTTTCATTTTTGCCCAATTTTAATTTGTATTAAAAATTTAATTTTCAATTTCCACAATTGAAACCACCTATTTTATGTTTTCTTCATTAATTAATGCATCTAATAAATAAGAATTACCAATGCTTTAATTTAAATATGTTTATTATTCAGTTAATTTTGAATGTTCATTATTTTTGCATTTTTCTTATATAATTAAACAGCCTTTTTATTAAGAATCTATGTTATTAACTGATTATTTTGTATTGATATCCTATTCTTCCTCAATATTATTAGATAGATAATTTTAATCTTCTTAAAAAGCATTTTTAGGAGGTTCTTTATATCTACTAATCAAGTCCTAAATGTATTAATTCTACTTTGAATGAATTTATTGTTATTCTCTTCTATTTAATTTTGAATTACTTTCAATTAATGGTTATTCTATTAGTTTTATTTGAGGTTCACATATATTTTCAGAATTATTTGATGAACTTTAAATTTTAATAGGTTAATGATGAAAACATTATTGAGGAGAATAATTTTAAAAGGAGATCTGTTTATTTGGTTAAAATTGTATAGGTGGGATTACTTATAGTATTTTATCAATATCCTATTCAATTGACACAGAGAGATTTGAAATATCATTGCTTGGAATCCACTTCATAATATCACTATTTGATTAACTAAAATTTTACTAAGAAGTATTAGGAGATTAATAGAGAGCACTGTAGATTTTCTCTTTCAACTGATTGTTTTTTTCATTTGAGTTTGCAAAAAAGGATGTTGAATTATTGAACATTTTTTATTTAAATACATGCTTAATTTTATACGTAGTTTCTCATAGCAAAAATGTAATTCATACTATTTAAAGACTAGAACCCCCTAAAGCTCCTTAATAATAATAAACTTAATAATAAACAAAATAGAACTTTTACTCAACAGTACCTAAATTAAGAGATAATTTTGCAGAAGAACTTTTTAATTTAGAAATGGATGTAGAATCTGATGATGTTTAAATGGATACAATAATGCAATTATTAAATTTATATAAAGAAGCTGTAGAATATTTTGAAGCTATTCATTCAAATAAATATCTCATATTCAAGAACAAAATTTAAAACTTATTTGCTAAAAAGAATGTTATGAATGCTATGAAAATGAATTAAAAAAAGTCTCCAACTTTAGAAGTTAAATAAAAACTATAGTAAATTAAGTAAGTTGATTAAAAACGAAATGCTGATGATTTGATTAACTAACATCAATAAAAGGTAAAATAAAAATATAAGTTTTTCATTAGTAAGAGTAATTGAACATTTTAATACATAATAACCTTGAAGCTCAAAACAATGTTATTTAAGAGAGATTGCAAAAAAGAAGAAGTAGTCAAGTGAGATAAATTTAAATTACATCTATTTAAGATAATACAGATTATTCTGTGCCTGAATTCAATCCTTGTCATACTCCATAGATTAAGACTTCAAGCAAATAATATAGAGGTAGATAAACTTTTGATTCATGATTATGTTATTTTACAATTAAATTAGTAAATGTATCTCAATAATAAACTATACTTATACTTCATTATAGTAATTTAATAAAATAAATTATGAAACAGCAAAAAGATGGATTATTTATTTAAAGTTCTTAATTTGTGGCAGAATCTTGCGAGCCATTATCAATAATGGATTATTGTTATGAAGAAAATCAAGAAATTTAACCAAAAACTTTAAAAACAGAAAAATTAGAAAAAATAGAAATGACTAAAGAGAAATCTATTAGAAGTTATCTTTCTTTAAATAAAATAGTCTACAGTTAATCGTCCTTAGAAAAAAGAACCTTATGGATCTGATTGGGCTCAAGGAATTTTAGCTAAATAATTTGGAGTTCAAATAACATAAGGAAGTTAGACATTAAGTCCAAAATGGATAATAAAAAAAGTATAACCAATAGAATTTTCATAGAATAATGCACTGATAGATCCAAAAATTGCAAAGGTATATGCATATCTTAAATTAGGATTTCAAATCATAAGAGAAATTATTTCGTCAGACTGCAACTGAAAGCCATAGAAAAAGATTAGGGAAAGTAATTAAATAATATTAATAATCATTTAATGGTTAAATTTCACCACAAAATTAATAGGCTTAGTTTAATTATTAATATAAATTGCCTTCGATTCCATGAATACATATATGATATAATTCACTTATATATTTCAATTTACTTATATATAAAATAAATAAATAAATTTAAATGTGAATATAAGTATCTTTGAATGTAATTCAAGAAAAAAAGAATTGATTTGAATATATTAAAATATGATTAGTTTGAATATTCATTATTCTTCCATATGATCATCAGTTTATTTTGATGATCTTCTTGCAACATTATTTTAATTATCGCATACTGGATTTAAATTTTCATTTTCATTCTCATTTATTTGATTTTATGTAATAGGCTTAAAAATTATATAAATATTACTTGATTATAGCTTTTTGGATCATAAACATATTAACGAAGTTCTAAAAATTTAACTTCTCTAATACATGCTAAAACATGTTATATATTTTTAAAGATATTCTTTCTATACAATTAAAAATGAATATACCTTCTAAAAGGATTTTTACTTTAAATAATCCAATGTTTCTTTAAATATTCATTTGTAGTCATATTTGTTATAACTAAAAATGTATGGAATCCCCATAAACCAACAACAAAAAATGAAAACTGAATAATTCTAATTAATTTACTATGAAACAATAAATTGCTAATGCTAATGAAATTGGATTTCTTTATAATATTTATATTATCTATTCTCCTTTATCTTTATCATTTTCCATATTTCCAAAGATATATGCAAGACATGTTGAAAAAACATAAATCATTGTAGCAGAAAGAAAGAAGATAAAAAGATAAAAATAAATATAATTCCTTCTTCCAACACAAGCTCCTATCCATGGACAATGATGATCAAATCTCAATACACAATTATCACATGCTGGACAATGTGAGGCACGAGGAGGTCTATAAATTGCACCTATAAAATTATTAATTTCGTTTATACATGTATTACAAAATTTCAATTTAAATTAATGTCCTCTCATTTACAAAGTTTTAGATTCAAATAATACTTAAGGATCAACCTTTAAATATTTTTAAGGAATTAAAATTAGCTATTCATCCATTTCATAATTTGTAGTCTTTTTAATATTTAAATTATTACTATTTTAGGGATAATACCTGGATCCATAAGTACTGTTATAGTAATGAAAACATAAACTAAACAATTTAGAATTATAAAAATGATCACCTAAATAACTTAATCTCTTTGAACCAATGCCTAAGTAAACATATTTTATTACTGGTGCCATGAACACATAATACAGAATTGTAGGTATAGTGATTAGTACAAGAGATGCAATGAATTTATGATTTTCAGAACTTTTATAAAAATATTATTTACCCAACTAACAACTTTCCTTAACATAATATTCTGTTACCAGTTTACCATAATTCATAAAAGAATTTTTAACTATTATCTTGATAATTGTGCATTAAAAATAAATGTATTTTTTTATAATATTTTTGTGTATAAAATTTGTTTCTCAAGAATCCTCTCTTTCCCATTTTGAAACTACTTATAATAGATTTTCCATCTTTTATTTTTCATATTCCTCCATTGACATATTTTCTAAATCTTTGGGAATTTTTCCATCAGGAAAATTGGATGCTTTGACACCAGCTAAAAACATAAATTTATATTATATACATTTTGTAAGATTTGGACTTAATTTAAGTAATGTTATACCACCATGTGTATCACCTACTAAAATAATTGGATCTCTTTAATTGAATGCAATATTAGTTAATCTAGGTTATTTTGATGGTTTTTATTCTGCAAGTTTTCCAATTTTATCAACATTCAAATCATAAACAAATATTTTATCTTAAGTAGCACATGCAAAAACTATTGTATTTATTTCTTTTATAAATACCTGTTGAACTATATGGAGCCCACATTGCATCAACAACTTACATTCCTTATTCAAAACTCATAATTTAAGATGATATTTTAGAATCCCATATTTTCACTGTCCAATCTGCTGATGCTGATATGAAAGTTCTAGAATGAAAATTATTCCATTTAACTTTATAAACTGCCAAATTATGACCCTATTTATATAATCATATTAATTTACAATATAAGTTTCCTAATATTATCCAGAATATGCTCTAGAACATTTATGTATTTTTCCTTCTTCTGTACCAACCAAAAATATGTGAGGTTCAAATTTATTAAAATCAAAACATAAACCACAAGCTAAACCAATTAATGTACTTTCTTCTTCATTTTTACCTACTAATCTTAATCTAATCACTTCTTCTGGTTCTAATTTATTTTTCATTAAAACCCAATTCATTACTCTACCATCAGATGAAATTGAATAGAAATTATAATTCTTTGAAATATCTGGATTCCACTTTACTTACCATACTGGATCTGTATGTTTTTATGTTCTTACTGTTGATTAATATATAGGTTTCTTATGTTTATTTCTAATATCATAAACTAAAACTGTTCCATCATATAAACCCACAGCCAATAATGCAGGACTTTAAGGATGAAAATCTAAACACATAACTCCAGCTTCACATGTAAATGCATATTCTGGATGAGTTGTATTTTTAAGAGAATATAAACATATAAGACCCATTCTTTATTTTGAAAATTCATAGCTACCAAAACTAACAGCAAATAAATCCATATATCTAGGATTCCAACACAAAGACGTTACATGTTTTTTCTTCTATTTCTCATTTGAAAACTTCCAAATTGGTAATAAATGTCTTATTTTATTTTAATTAATAATTACCCTTCATTTTTTGATGTTTCAACTACTTCCCCTTAATTCCAATAGTATTTATAATCATTGTATTTCTCTTTCTAATCATTATGAACAACAGTTCTTTCCATTATTTTTAAGCATCTTTTAAATGATGGTTTATAAACTGTATTGTCTGAAGTATGATCCTTTTTCTTTTAATTCTCCTCTTTAGCCTTATTCTAAATGTAAGCATCAAATATCTCCCATTATGTAATTTATCCTTTTAATGTATCACTTGGAGGAGGCTCAGTTGAAACACCTCTTTCTCTAATTACTCTTCCATCAGTCTAAGCTTCTCTGGCATTATAATTAAACTTATTTCTCATTGTCTATTTGATTGCATCTATATCTTTAGATGCTCCAGGATCTTCCATTTCTTAATTTCTTTAAGCTTCCTTAATCAATGCTGATTTTGTATCCCATAATTCCTCCTGGATTCTAGCCTCATTAGAGTCTTTGTGAATAATTTCTCCATCCATTCTGAAATGAATAATCATTTATTCCACCAATTCATCAGTTTTATACTATCCATAAGTTGGGTAGTTACCTTTCTTTATAAATAATCATATTAAGTAATATTTTTTGGTGCTTAAGGATTATTGGGTATAAGCATTTTAGATGGCATATCTTCATTAAGTTCTTTCTCAGTTAATTAAGGTCTCTCTTTCTCTCTCTAATAATATTAATATATTTCAAAACTTCATTTTAGTACTCTGATTCATCTCCATCTGGTTCTGGGTCTTATTGATTTAAATTTTGATTCACTTATTTGGCTTATTTTTTCTACTGTACAAACTCAAAATAATTACAATCTATGGCCTTTTAAGAGCAACTCTCTATTATTTAGGTGGCATTTTAATTATTAAAATAGTAAATCAAAAATGATTGTATTTATAATATACTTCAAACTATCAGCAAGCTATTTTATAAACTTTATTATCAATAAGGAATCTCACTTAATTAAATATCCTTAATTATTTAAAATTCTTCTTCAAATTTTACTTTTGATTTTAATCAGTTATTAATCCTTTACTATATTGTAATTGATTAAAAAATGTTTCATTATTAATTTTGCTATTAGCTTAATCTAATCAACCAATCTTATTTCTCTTGTTAATCATCTATAATTCTATTAATTATAATTTATACCAACTAATTTAATAACTATTTTAAAATTCAAACTTACAACTCCTCCATAGAATAAAAAATTAAAAAGTACTATCCATACTCCTTTAATCCAATAAGTTTATAAACTAGTTTTTGCTTTTAAATAATTATACTAAAAATTATTCATTAAGATACTTTATATAAGTTATGAAAATATAAATCATTTAATTTCTTCAGTCAATTATTTTAACTATGATGCTCTTCTTTGTTTTCCAGAAAAAAGTAAGATAAAGAGTTGAAAATAAACTCCCCTATTTAAAAATTTTAAAGAAATTTGAATCTATCCTTTTAAAAATAATTAAACTTTTTTACTATTAATTGCAAATTGATTAAGTTTGATTATATTAAATATTATCAAATTTATTTCGTTTTATATGTTATTTAAGAAATATTATGAGATTTAATTTTAGTAAATTTTTTAAAAATATTGAGTTTTAACTAATAATTTTGCTCTTTTGAGACATTATAGTAAAACAGTTAAATCTTTTTTATTTAATTAATTAAATGTTTAATTGTTAATTTTAATATTAATGTTTAAGTATTTTGATATTATGATATGTTAATCAGTAGATTTGATTTTCTAATAACTCATAAAACTATCAATTCTCTGTTAACAATATATATTACTATTTTAATAATTTATGATTGATTTATTAATATAGTTATAGAAATCACTTTTAATCATTTAGTATAAAAGTAAGAATGTAAATAAACTAATTTAATATGAAACTTTTATATTCATTTGAATTCAATGTTCTTTTTTTAAATTAATAAAAGATGATAGTAAATAGCTTAAATCTATCTCTAAAAGACGTTTTATGAAGCTAAATGATCTTAAGGTGAAAGGCAAAATAAGTTCAATATGGTGAAACTAAAAGAAATCATAGCATAACTAACAACTTTGAAAAAAAATAATTTATTAATACAAATATGTAAAATTTTTTGTTTATAAAGTATTAATTAAAATATTTGTTTCAATTTTCTTAGCTTTAAGATCAATTTTATTATTTTTTTATACACTTAATATTTCATCATTCTTTGTAATATATTCTAAATAGTTTATATATTTACATTATTCTTTATAAAAATTAACAAATTATTTAATCTATTATCAAAAAATCATAATCTAATTAACTCTGTAAAAACAAAAATCATTAATTATATATACAGTTTAAACAATAATTATTTCGTATAATATTTATTAATCAATTTATGAGTGAAATGAAAAATACTAATAGAATTTATTCATCAGATGAATCATTATCAATTGAATAACTTAAAACAATTTGTCCTGATTAATATGTAACTTATGAAATATTTGATCTTGCTTTTAAATAAATGTGGTCTGTAGTGAATAAATTAGAAATGTTACAATTATAGCAAAATAAAAATGATAAATTGTATGAGCTAGAAAGAAGAATTGCTAATCTAGAGGATATTATACATAAATTAACCAACATTACACCTGTCATTCCTGAATCTCTTCAATAATAGATTATAGAATTAACTGATACTAGTAAATAAATTCTTATTTCAATACCATAAAAATTTGATTAAATTTAGAATGATATTAATGAGAAGGGTGAAAGAATAAAATCTGTTGAAGATGCATGTAATATCTTGGCAAGAGTGTTACATGATGTATAAACTAAATATGAAGATTAAAAAGATTAAGTATAATTCTATTAGAAATTTTTAGATTGATAAAATGGAATCTGATTTATTGAATATGTTTAAAAATTTCTAAATTGTTTTAAAAATAGAAAAAGATAATACAAATATATAAACTGAAATCTAAAATATTACTAAAGCTATTAATGAAATATATTAATTTATTTGAGTATTTTCATATATTATATATAAAATTCATACATATTCATTTTTTATAATAGTTTTTCTCACATTATTGACAATAATAAGTTTTCTAAAAACTATCTTTTTAGTCTGCAACCCAAAAAAAATTACATTAACTACATTTTTGTAATTATTAAATTTTAAAATACATTTTATAAATAGTGCTGATTTATTTTTTTAGTAATTTATCTATCAAGTCAGATTTTTAATTTAAGTTTAATACATTTTTTATCTAAGACTCAGATATCTTTTTTTAACAATGACATTTTAAAGGTCTATATGTTTAAACATTGATTTATTAGTTCAAATGGTCTTCAAAACATTAAGGATGATAAAAATGATAACAATCAAGTTGAATAATCTCATGAAATATTCTTGCCTCACAATGTTTGCATGAATATGAGATAGATTTAGCTATTGATTAAGTTAAGTCTTCAGAAACTTCAATATTATCATCTTATTAAAATTATTAGTTTTATTATTATTATTTTTATTCTATGCTAGGTTATACAATAGAAATGTGTTCTTAATTTTTAATAAATTCATTTCCTGTTGGATAATTCTACGCTTAATATTAGTTATTATTGTAATAATTTAATTAACCATTTCTGCTAATCTATCGACAATTAAATTCAGAATTATTGTTTTGATTGCTTTAAAGAAATTATTGATTTATATGCTATGAATATGATTTTTAGTAGTTTTAATTGTTTGTATCATTATTTCTGTTTTATATTAAATTATGTATTTAAGGTTAATTTTGGTATTACTATTTGGTATTATAACTATTATTATTTCCATCATTAATTTTATATACATAAGATTGGCAGTTAATGGATTATTAATAGTTATCGCTTATATTTTTTTATTATTGAGAATATTATGTATTTAAATATTCATCTTTGATTTGGGGTTTATTGATTGACTTTTCATATGTCTTTTCGTACAAATTCATTTAATTATGGTTTTAAAATGTGTTATGAATAGGATTTAATGGAACTTAAAATTGAGATGAGGATCTTGCCTTAATTGGCTCACTATTATTTAAATAAGGAGTTTATCTAACTGAAATTTTTGGATTAGAGTTTTAAGTGTGTTAGTGATTAGGAAGATTATTTTAATAATTTTGTTATTGAATAAGGTTTTAAGGAGGATTATAGCTATATTCGCCTAAGAATTTGATTTTCTAATTTGAAATTTAGGTTGACATCAATAAGAGTAATTAAATTTTATAAATAATTATAGTGAAACATATTTTAAAAATTTATATTGTCATTATATATTATTTAAATCATCAATTACTGATGAAATATTATCTTAAATGCATCCAAAAATAGAAAAATGTTGTGTTATTTTTAATCTTTAGTTCTCTTCTTCATCAAAGTCCTTAAGAAGATCCTATTTGAGGCTTTCCATATTTTCTGCTTAACTCATTAAAAAAAAAATATTTATTTTTGGACTAAATGATAATATTTAATATATACTATCCTTCTTTAATAACAAAATCAATTATTTATTGGTAATTTTAGCCTTTATCATTATAACAAGAGATATATATTTAATTCGGTTAAATAACTTAAAATTGATTAACTAGTTTATTAAGTGAATTGCTTAATGTTTCTTTATCAAAATAATTTATAAAGTTTTCTGGTTTAAAATAGTTTTTGTAATAAAGTTAACAAATAAAATATTCTATAGTTTCAATTTTTGGTTTCTTTTTTTTATCTTTTGTATTAATATTTGAATTAGTTTCTGTAATTTCAACAGAATATTTAATTAATTTATATTATTTAGTATCAGATATTGATTTGATATCCATAGATCTTTTTTAAATTAACTCTAATTCCCATTATAATGAAGGTTTTTGAAGTTCTTAATGGACTTTTTCTAATGGTATAATGAATAATGCTTTATTTAATTTCATTAATTCAGCCTTTATCTCAAATAAACCAATTGGTGATCCATTACAAATTTTAATTCTAGTTTATTTTCTACGAAAAGAATAAATTTAAGCAAGATTAACTTCATCACATGCTCCAGCTACTAAATCAATTGATGGATATTTTTGTTAAATATTTTTGATTAATTATCTAATTAAATTTGTAATTTATACGAAAAATTGATTCCTTTTGGTATATCAATAGTAATTTATTTTGATATTTTATCTGATTAAATATCTTTTTCTAATTCTTATAAATCTAATTTTAATTATTAAACATTCATTTGCTTTCCAGTTAATTTTATTCTTGTATTTAATAAATTTGCCTCAACTATAAATAATAGAAATAAAAAAATACCTTAACATTCATTTTAATTTATGATTTAATGATATCTATCTTTATAATCAATCATAGCTGCTTTAATATTAAAATTATTCTTATATTAATAGTAATCAATAATATCTAGTTTTGATACTAAAATATTTTATAAATTTTCTTTAAATTTCTTAATTTAATCTTATTTTCCAGTAATGAAGAATTTTTCATTATTAGAATCTAATTTAACTTTAAATTACATTTCATAATTCTGCAATTCTGAATAATCTTACATTAATAAATAATTTATATGATTTTAATTATGAATTTCTTCAGTAATAACTTTTAAATGATCATTTAATTTTTATTTTAATTAAGCACTTAATTTCATTCCATATACAATCTAAAAATAACCTACACAATTTCCATTCTTATTAATAGATGCTAATTTTTAAACTTCAGTTTCTAATATTTATTCAATTCTTTATTAATCTAACTCAAAATTAGAACATAAAATACAATTTCCATCTAAACCACTATCTTAATATTCTATACTTTTTAAAATAATTGTATTTACCAGCAAAAATCACTGCCTAAAAAGCCATACTTTTAATATCTTTCAAACTTTCCTCTAATTATTCTAAAAATGCTGATGTTTATTTAGGAACTTCATAATTCTAATATAAAGAGTCTTTTAAAAATTCATTAACTTATAAAAATTAAAATTATTCTTCAGTTAAACCTTCTGATTTAATTATTCCATGATATAATTATAGTTGTTTATATTCTTTCATAATTATTTCTTCAGCTTCTTTTACTAAATTAATTGGACCATAAAGAACAACCTAAATATTTATATTATAATTTACATATTCTTCCTCTTCATCTACTTCAACATAAACATAATAATATTTTTCAATTAAATTCTTCATTTTTGGAATGTAATATGTTGTAAATACATGAAACATACCTACATATAATTCTTATCTAATAATTTGCTTTTTAAATATTTCTGAAATATCAAAATGTTTATAACCATATATTTTATATGAATAATAATAGTCTTAATTGGAATCTTATATATATCCTTTTAATGGTCTTTCTTGTTTTATACATATTGTTTTTATATTTCTTTAAGTCTAAAGAAAATCAATATATTCTTTAAATTAAGTCTCAATTATAAATAACTTATTTAAATATTCTTCTACTATTAATTTACAATTTAAATCTGTAATTATTTGATTATTATCTATTATCCATTAAATATCATTATTCAAGCTTAACTTTTATCTTACATGATCTTTTAATGATTACTCTAATTCCTTGTCTTATTCTACTATTTCAGAAAATTCATTTAAATTTATTTTTAACATCTTATCTCCATTAAAAAACTAATAATTTTCTAATTCTTATATTAATCCTTTTGTCATTTAATTTAATTCATGGAATGTAATTGATATATCAATATTTTACTCTAAACTATCTTCTAGAATTCTACAAAAACCTTAAAAATTATTCTTCAAGCTTTCAATATTTAGATTATATTTCATTATAATTAAATTTATATATTTATAAATTACCTATAAAAAATATCATTATTTTATGCTATCTATTTAGGATAATTGATTATGTTTTAAAATATTTGCTGATTTCATTTAAAGTAATATTTAATTCAATAAGTTTTATAATGTTGAATTAAAATTAGATATCATTATTTTTAATAATCTTTTATTGAATTATTTTATCTTAAATTTATTACAAAATTTTAAGTTTATTATAATCTTCATCATCGGTTCTATTTTAATTTTATTTTCATAATATCAGTTATTAATGATAATTTATTATATTTTTATCTTTGTAACTTAAATTTATAGTTGTATTTAATCCATTCATAATTGCTCTTATATTGATATGATAATATTTTTAATTTTGAAAGAATATAAACACTAAATTAAGCCATAATTTAAAACTATGTTTCTATGTAATATTAGTTATCAGGGTTGTATAATCAGAACTGTCTGTTTCTAGTACTTATATTATTTTATAATTTCTTATCAACTATCTTAAAGTCTATTATCTTATCATTATAAAATTCAATTAAATAATAATATCATTAATATACAGAAGTATAACCAATTGAAGTATTTCAGTAATTAATATTAGATCTACATGTAGTTAAAAGGGAATATAATATAGAATTTAATTTAATGTTGATGAATAATAAGAATATAATGATCTTTTGAATTTAGATATTTCTGTGTTCCATAAAATATTAAAAAATTAATAAATCAGATTATAAGAAGAGTATGGCTAATTCCGAAATGTAGGATATGCTGATATGCAAACCTAGGTAGGAATGTGAAATTATTTAGGTTTCTAGAAAAAGGACCTGATATTCAAACTAAACTCTAGTTGAGTATAAATTATGCTGAATAAGATGAATAGATGGAGAGACCTGTTCCAAGTGTTTATGAAAAGTATGCAGAAATGCAGGAATACTTTTGTCCATTAGATTAATTAGAGGGGTTATTGAAAACAAATTTTGGGATTGGTCTTTCAAGTGATGAAGCATTGAAAAGATAATAATCAAAATCTATAGATGTTAGTGATTGGAAAATGTTTATAAAAGAATTGAATTTATTTGCATTTGATCTAATTATAGCAACAATGATATCAATTAGTCTAGCAATATATGGAAGTTAAAATAATCTTGAATTTAGTGGAGAAGAAATAATTACATCATGTCTATTATTAATAGTAATAACAATAACTTTTGCAATGGGATATCAATAAAGAAAGAAATCTTAGTATGCTATAGAGAAAGATAATGAATAAACAATTACAGTATATAGAGATGGGAAAATGTAACATATTTAAATTTAGAATCTTGTATCAGGAGATGTTTGTGTTATTAAGGATGGTTTAGTAATCTATTGTGATATGAGAGTATTAGAATCTTCAGATCTATAAATATAAATGAATTAAGATGTAACTTAAGCAGTAAAGGGATCATAAATATTTTGTGGATCTTTAATAAGAAATGGTTTTGGAAAGGCTGTAGTCATAAAGACAGGATCAAGTACTACTATTGCTTAGATATAAAAGAGATAAGGAAGTAAATTATTATAAAAATAATTAATTTTATTTTAATAAATAATGACTTTGATAGCATTATTTGTGATAGCATTAGTTATTATTTGGAGTGGTGTAATGTCTGATATTGATACTTCTAATGTATTTGCTTATGGATTTAGAGTAGTTGAATAAGTAATTATAGCAATTGTTCCAGTTGGTTTATTAGTAATAGTTACAATATCATTTTAAATGGCAATTAGAAGATTGGCAAAACTTAGATTCTTAATTAAAGATGCTGAAAGTATAGAAAGATTAAGTGAAATTAATTGTTTATGTATTGGATTAAATGAAGTAATAACTAGTAAGAATTATTCATTTAATTCTTTTAATGATTGCAAATAATTATTATATGAATGTAATAAACAAAAATCTATACATCTATATTATTGTGCAATATTGACTTGTAATCATACAAATTTAGATGGAACAGAAAAGAGTATAATTGATTGTTTTAAAGAAGAAGATACAGAAGATTTAATAAAAAATACAAAGTATTATGTAAATGGAATTTAATATCATTTACCATTTAATAGTAGTAAAAAATATTCATTATCAATTGTGGAATAGTAAGGCAAATATTTTGTTTACATTAAAGGAGCACCTGAAGTTATTTGGAGTTATTGTAATAAGACATTATTTGGTAAAATTGATTTACAATAAACTCAATAATTTAATGATTAATTAGTACATTAATGTTCAAAGGGTTTAAGAAGTATAGGATTTGCTTATTTATAAATTGAAAATGAAGAAGATTTAAGAATTAATGAAAATGATTATGAATTTAACAAATAAAACTTTGTGTATTTAGGAACTTTATATTTAAATAATAGTCTTAATGAATAAACTATTCCTATTTTAGAGAAATTATAAAAATAAAATATTAAATTAGTAATTATTACTGGAGAACATTCAGAAACTGCTAGAGTTATTTGTAAAAATACAGGATATTATAGTAATCCAACTATTATAGAAGGACATTAATTATATTTACATGTTGATGATCAATAAGAAGTAACTAGATTAAGTTCTGTTGAAAATAAATTAGGAAATTGGTGTTCTTAATAAGAAATAATATTTGCTAGAACATCACCAGAATAAAAATTAAGTATTGTAAAAGCATTATAATAATTGAATTATAAAGTTGCTATTACTGGAGAAGGATTAACAGATTTAGGAGCATTTAGATAAGCTGATATAAGTATTAGTAAGAAACATGGATCATAGTAAATGATTATAAATTCTAGTGATTTAATTCTTACTTCCAGTAAATAAACATTTCTTGATAGTTATTAAGCTATCTTAGAAGCCAAAAGAGCTGTTAATAATGTTACTAAATCTATTATGCTTTGTTTATCTTCAAACACAGCTATGATCTTAGCTTTATTTGTATATTGTTTTTTAGGAACTCCATTACCATTCTCATAAAATTTAATGTTATTAACTAGTATTTCTGTTGATTTAATACTTGGTATCAGTTTAGCTAGAGAAGAATTAGAATATAGAATACCTAATAGAACTAATCTTTTCCTTTTTGCTATTTTAATTATTGGATGTATTGAGGCAGGTGGAGGTTTAATGGCAAGTTTTAGTGCTTATCGTTATTTTGGATTTAATTTATAAAATCTGTATTTTACTAGATTTGCTAGAGTTTATCCTGTAGGAGATCAAGATATTTATAATCCATCTAGTAATACATTAGGCAATTCGAATTTAATTGATAATTGTTAATATATTGGTTAAATGTAAAATTATTAATGGAGTTCACCTAATAATACAATTGATTAAAGATTAATATTTGTATAATGTGGAACTTGTTCTGAATTATAAATTTAAAATGGATTTTTAACTTAATGTTGGAATACTAAATATGAATACCCTGATTGTGAAAGTAATATTAATGATATTTAATTTTGTTATACAGCTAAAGCAAGTGATTTCGCATCTACATCATTCTACATAGTCTTAGTATTATCATAATGGTAATAATAATTACTTAATATAGTATCAATTATTTTGCATTAAGAACTTTAATTAAATCTTATAATTCTACTCGAATTAATACTTTAGCTATATATGGTTTAACGATATCATTAATTTTATTACCAATTATTGTTTATGTTCCAGGTATTTAAAGAGTATTTTAAACAATTAATATGCCTTGGGAATTATTAGGTTCAGCAGGTCTTCCATTTTGTTTGCTTTTATTAGCTACAGTAGAAATAGTAAAATGGTTATTAAGAACATATGTTGGATTTTAAATTTTATGATTTTTATATTTATATTATTGTTTATGTATAAATCTATTATAATATTATTATATATATAAATGAAATCATCATTAACCTATTATTTAATTCTTATATTATTTTATACACAGATTCTCAAATAAAATTATGACAATAAATACAGCTACATTCATCAAACCAGTCATCATTAATTCATCTTTTGTTAATTAACATAATACAGATATATTAATAATGTTAGGTTTAATAGTTAGCAAGATATGCACAACTATTCCAATAAATAAAACTAATAAAAGAGAATAATTTCTGTATATAGGTTATCTGAAAGGTTTACCTTAAGAATATGCAATAGCAACAGCAATAACTTATGTATTTGCCAATATTATCTATTAAGTATTAATTGAATTAGCCATTTCCATATTTAATTCTGTAATCAAAGATTAATCATATGTTGAAAAGGAAATTAATTAACTACAACAACAAATAAAAAATAATCCAACAACTGATAGTATAATTTATCTATTTAATAAACTAACAAATGGCTATTGTGTTGTTAAGGTTTCAGATGGTTTTGTCAAACTCATAGTAAATGCAATTGGTATAATAATCCATAAATCCTAATATAAAAATTACTCAACTGTTAAATTAGTATTTCTAATATAACATATTGTCAATGCTATTGTTTAAATACTAGAATAAAGAGTCATGAATTTAAAACAAGATTAACTAGTAATAAGAGCACATCTTCCTACTTTCAATATTTCACTAATTTATGAAACTCTGATTATTGGTGTTAAAAATGGGGCAGCTAAAGATGCTTCTTAATTAGATAAAGCTAATCCAATATCACTTTATTAGAGTGCACAAATATCATTACAACCATCACCAACAAAAGCAGTAAATATTCCTTTATTTATATTCTTAAATTTTATCATAAGATTACCCTTTTAAGAAGGCTTCATTCTAGCAAACACTTTAGTTTTTTCAAGGATACTCAAAAATAATATTAATTAATACTTTATCAACACATTCCCAAGAATCTCCTGTCAATGCCACTTAATAATTCATTTATTCAATTTCTTCAACATTTATATTATTATCAAATACTAATTTATCATTAATTATTTATCCAGTAATAACAGGTTAATTAGGATCCAAAATCTGACATTATTTTGCAATGTTAATTGATGTTAATATATTATCTCCTGTTACCATAATACATTTAATATTAATTGAATTCAATAATTCAATTAATTATTTAGAATCTTCTCTTAAATGATTTACAAATACTAAAGTTCCAAGATATTATAATCCATTTTCAATATATTTTCTTTCTTCATTAACATCATTAATTTCTTTATATCCAAATGATATTAATCTATATCCCTCTTATTAATATTGATTAACTGTAGATGCAAATTAATCAGGTATAGTTTAAAAACATAATCTTTCCATTATTTCTGGTGATCCTTTTGTTAAAGCTAATAATTTTCCTTTATATTTAATTATTACAGACATTCTTTAAAGATTGGCTTCAAATTAATAAATTTTCTAATATTCAAAATCAAATTATTATTAACAACATTCTAACATAGCTATTTCTAAATTATCTCCACAACCACCAACAAGAGTATGACAACTTTTTAATGCTAATTACATTATCTCTTTACAATGATTAGGATTTATTAATAATTTTTTCTCTACACATCCTAGAACTTTAAGTGTTGATTCAGTCAATGTACCTGTCTTATCAAATCCAATAAAATTAACCATTCCACTTACATTAATTTTATCTGGTTTTATACAAAATATATTATTTGCTTTTAATCTCTAATTTGCCACTTATAATCCAGCACCTAAAGCAGTAGGTAATGAAGGAGGTATCATTATTGTAAATATTTCAAGAGCTTCTATAATGCTTCCAAAATTATTTTATGTAGATTTTAAACGAATAAAATAATTAACTATTGATAATAATATTCCTAAAAAACTTAAAACAAATAAATATTTAAGTGATTCCTTTTAGAATGAATAAGTATATGAATTATTAAATAATATATATCTAGCTAATGATCCTTTTATAGTATTAAAACCTATTGATTTCACTAGAGCTCTACAATCTTAACTTGCAGATAAACAGGTACATCCACTAAATATTTCTAAGTTTATTGTTTTTAATATTGGAGTACTTTCTCCAGTTAAAATAGCTTCATTAAAAACAGCCTCTCCTTAAACAAGTTGACCATCAAAAGTAATCATAGATTTTGCTGTAACTTAAACAATGTCTCCTGGAACTAAGTCTTTTGAAGATATTTTTAATTAATGATTATCTCTATGAACAATAACAGAATTCTCATAATAAATCATCTCTCTTATTTTATGATTTTGTTATTCTAAATCATATAAACTAATGGTAATTTATATTATGGTTAAAATCGCAATCAAAATAGCATAAAGATAATAATCATCCAGAGACCAAACAATGAAAGAAAATACTTAAAAGATATTAAATGGTGATAAGATTTCATTAAATAATATTTAACTTCTAGTACATTCTTCAATTTACATTATATTTTCTCCATATAAAATTTACCTTTGTTGTGCTTCATATTTACTTAATTCATTATAATCATAATTAATCAATTCTAACTTTTTCAATTAATTTTATGGAGTTATTAGAAAGTTAATATATTCATATTTAAATTTAATCCTATCTCCATCCCTCTTACATTTAATGATTTTATCTTTACTCATTCGTTTACCATCTTTCATCTTTTAAATCAATAAATGAGATGGGTTTGTACTCTTCTAAAAGCTATATATGATAAATAAATTCAAAGTACCTTAATAATGATACCTAAACAAACCATTTTTCAAAAAGTGAAAAAAGTCCAAGACTTACTATTCTTAGAATCTTAATCATAAAATTATTGTCTTCCTCATAATAGTAGACTCTTAATTCATAACGTTCATTAAACTCTTCAAAGTATTCCTGTGTTTAATTGTCTTCTACTTTATCTCCCAGAATTGGAAGTTCAATCATAAATTAATTTGTAAACAATAATATTTAATGTATCAAGAATTATCATTCTAAAAAGACATCATCTTAAATATAATCACTCAATAGTTGTATATACAATATATAATTAGGTAAGAATATAAATGAATTATATAAAATATACCGTTAATGAATGTGTGTTCTCCTTCTAAAGTTTAAGGGCCATCCCTTTTAAGAAATCCTTTTTAATAAGTTCGATCTGTTAGTACTGATTGTAAGTATGCCACTTGGTAGTCACCAAAAAACAAAGAGAATCTCTCTCCAAATTAATAAAGAGTGGATTTAGTTAAAAAGATTATAGTACTACTTGAAGAAAATGAGAAATCAGCAGAACTCATAAAATAACTTTTAACAAAAGAATCAAAATACTAGAAATAAAGATCAAGTGATTAGACTGAATTATCTTAATTAAGAGATGAAGTTGCTATTCTTAAAGAATAATTGATGTAAACTAATTATTTTTTAATATATTAGTAAATCTGAAGAGGATAGAATATTAACAGAGACTAAATACTAGGCTGTTTTAAAAGAATTAGATTATAAGGATTAATAAATTGAAAATAAAAAAGAAACAATTGTTGCTTAGGAAGAACATATTAAATAACTTTTAGAGAGAAATGCAGAATTAACAGAATAATTAAAATTCAGTCAAGATGAATTAAATAATTTAGGTGATATTGATGAAAAGATAGATTTTATACTAAATGAAAATGAATAATTAAAATTTTTAAGTGACAAATTACAAGATTAATTAAGTGCATCTGAAGAATAACTATTTAGATTTAAATAAAAAATAGATTAATTATAATCATAAGAAACTGAAAGAAGTGAAGGTGCACTCAATGGATACAAATAAAAGATAAGAAACTTAGAAACTAAATTAGCTGTATTATCAGAAGATAATGCACGTAGAAGGCAGATTGTTTGATAATCAATATTTTTTTAAAAACTCTATTTTCTGATTAAATTTTATATAATTTTTATTTTTAAATAAAAAAAAATAAGAAAAAAGAAAATGTCTGAAGTATTCAGTAGTTATGAAATTGAATTTGAAAAATATTAGTAATAAATTTGTTAATTGATACGATAAACACAAATTAATAAATCAGATGAAACTTTAAATGAGATATCTTAAGTTTTTAGTGACTTGTAGAATTGTGTAAAAATTATATTTTATTTGTATAGTTATAATAAATGGATATAGAATCAGCTAGTATTGCAGTCTCTGATAGATAAGAATTAAAAAGCAAAGTGAAAAGATATAAATCAGAAGTTGAAGCATTAAAAAAATAATTTAGAATTATTCAAGATGAAGTTTCATCACAAAAAACTAAAGATTCTTTATTTGGTGAATAGGATAATCAATAAATACAATTTATAAATACTTAAGATAAATTAATCAAATAAACATTATAATTAGAAGATGCAAAAAAAGTTTGTTTTGAGATTGAATCAATTTCTAATAATATATAAGTCCAATTAAAAAATCAATCTGATGTATTAGATAGAAATATCAATAAAATGCCAGAAATTTAATATGATTTAGGAGAATCAAATAGTCGATTATCAAGAATTAAATCAAAAATGAGAGAACATAAAATAATATTCCTAATTGTTTTTGCCATATTTTTGACTGGTATTTCTATTGTTTTAGTATATAAATATGCTTGAATAACATTTAAAATTTTTATTATTTTATCTCTTGTAAATTGATTTTTCTAATATTAAATAATATTAAGAAACAATTCTTGATGAGAGTATTAAAGCTATTTTAAATTTAATTAATAATTAAATTAATCAATTTTTATTAAGTAAACAACAGGTTGGCAAAAATCTTAAGAAGTAAATCTATCATTTTCAATATTTTTGTAAAGAATTCTTAAAATAATAATTTACAATTTTTATGAATATAAAGGTTAATTAAACTTAAATAATTTTATTTTAATAATTATACACATATAATAATAATCATTTAGATGAAAAATTTAAGGTTTCCTTCAATTCAGAGATTATTAAGATAATAATTATAATTTATTATTATTATATTTATAATAACTACATTAGTTTTTAAATAATTTTTTATTTATGGAAATTTCTATTTGATTGATATATATATAATGCTCAATAATTACATTCTATACTTTATTTTAATTAAATCTTATATTTGAAGGATGTGTAGTGAATTTATTTTATTCCTAATAATCTTATGATAAAATAACCTTTTTAGGTACCTTAGACAATCAATGACCTTAAGATATTTTGCTATTTTTCAATTAAATTATTTAAAAATAAAGATTAGATAAAATAAGTTCTTAGTGTCTAACTAATTAATGAATAAATCCTAGAACTGGTTTAATTAACAAATAACTAACAACCTAAACTAGAATAGGATTGAACAATAAAATATAATCTATATAAATTCATGATTGCTTAAACAAGAAAGTAATGAATAATGGATAAGAAATAGATGTTTTAATTACACTTGCCAACGTACTGTAAATCAAATTACAAAAGTTATAGTCAAAATATAAAGAAAATACAAATTTTATATACAAAATCATAAAGTGATATATATGTATAATTTTCATAATTTTTATCACTTATATGTTGTCTATTAAGTATTCAAAAGAGTGGTTTTAGTTGTAATATGTTTTTTAGATTCCTTTGAGCTGATGTACAATACTTTTTTTGATTTAGAATAGTTAATGTCTTCTAATTTTGCTTTATTTTCTTATATTTCGGTGCGCCTATTAAAAGTAGGTGTACCAATTTCTTGAGAATCATTTATCGATGTTTACATATTATCCATCTTATTTAGAAAGTTTATTTTCTCTAATTCAAACAAATCTAAGTCGAAAGTTCGTTTATTTAGAGTTATGACAGGTTGAAATTTTAGACGAGATGCATGAGGATTCATCTTTTCTATTTATTTTATATACTCAATATTTAATTTAAAATTGTTAGACTTATTATGAATAAATATAGTTGTTCACAAATAACAAAAGTTATTCTTTAATTAGTGTTAAAACGAAAATCATTAATGATATTAATTAATTATATATTAAATCATTTTTGTAGTTAAAACCTAGGTAATTCAATTAATGACTTTTAATAATAATCACATATAAAAATTGGTTTATTCATCATAAAGTTCTATCCATTCTTTTATCTATCATTAATAATTTTATTATCATTTAATATTTCTTTTTAAAGATGAACTTATGATTTTAACTGTTATACTATGAAAGTGAGAATTGTTATTAATTTCATTTATCTAAATGTATTTTTATCTTTAACAAGTTGTTATTTTTGGTTTAATAAGAAACATAAAAATTTATAAATTTATTATTTAAATTTTAATTTAGTATCATCTTTTCATGGTTTTATAAATTTTAGAAAAGTCACTATATACGTTAAGAATGTCTATATTTAAAAATAAATAGAAATTTCATAAGATTTATTAATTAAATCTTTTAATTCATTTCTTATATTTAATTATAAATAATCAATCCGTCCATTTACTTTCTTAAAATCTTGATAATAAATAGTCAGGGATGTCTTATTATATTTAGGAATTAGATTGGGAAAATAGTCAATGATATAATAATTGAAATTCTGAAAATAAATTAATTTTACTATTGCTTTAGGTATGATTTAACTTTGTAGATATTAATTACAATGATAAATTAAAATTCATATAAAGATTGTATTGTAATGAATTTTAAAGCGTTTTAAATTTAATAATTAAATAATAATTATAGATTCAATTTGTAAAAGACATATTACCCATTTCAACCTCTTGCGTTTTTTCTGAAAAAAAAACTTTTTCAATCTTTTATAAAAACTTCTTTCTCCATTCTGGTTTTTTATCTAAGTATTTTAGATAATCTTAAAATTTATTAAAACTAAAAGTAATAGCATAGAATCCTAGAACAATCTAAACTAAAATCATGAATGATAATCCAAAACTGTATTATTTTTATTCATCTTTATTTGTAATAACTACATCAACATTCTAAGCATTATATTCCACTTCTGACACAATAGATGTTGTATATAAACCAACTATGATAAGATATCCAAAAATAGCAGAATAATTCATTATATCTCTTAAGTAAGGTCTTTTGTAAATTAAAAGTAAGAAATAGAGCACAATCAAGGTTACTGAAATAGAAAATTAGATGTAAGGAAAATTATTTAGCAATATTAGAGAACATGCAATACTAGTTTTCATAAAATAATTAATAAATTCGTAATTCTTTTTAATGTAATTTATTTATTTGAAATCTGAAAAGAATGTAAAGTATTTATTTTCCATTTCTTATTGATCTAGATCAAGAAATTATGATTTGTATACACTTCTGAAATATAAAAGATAATATAATATAGTGACTATTGATAATACAAATGAAGCTATATTGATATCAGAACTAAAATTATATCCCCATAATTATAAAATGGAAATGAGAATTAAAGGAAAATAGAGAAATTCATGAACACGAACCAGTAAATCATTACTACCTTCATGCATAGCTCTATATATTTTCAATGTTTCTAATTTATTATTTATCTAATATAAATTATGCAATATGTAACTAATTATCCATATAAGCCAAAATATTAATAATATTCCTAATATTTATATACCACCATTAGCAATAAAATTATAATAATAACCTGCATTATAAAGCAAATTATTATTTGGAATTTGATTATAAATTGGAGTATTAAAGAAATATAATATTATTCCATCTTCTGAAATTCCTATAGCTGGTATTCTTCTTAAATTTACAATATCTAATAATTTGAGTGAATTTAAAGTAAGAGTTGAAAAAGTAAAATTGATAAAAATCATTACCTATATGAATTACAAGTTATTAATAATTAAATAAAACATTCTTCTTTAAGTTCTTAATATTAAACATAAAAGAAACAAAAAGCAAAAATAAGATAAATAACTGATTATCAAATAAGTATTAATTTATTTATTATTGGCTTCCTCTTCAGGTGGAATAAACTATGCAGGTATATTCAAATCTTAATTTGCTGATGATAATCGAATTGGAGTTTTATCTTCATTCATAATATTGTTTGTAAAATTACAAGAGATTTGAGTAATTCTATGAGATATATCAAAATCTAAAGTAATAATAAAGAATTAATCATCTTAAACAGAACTTAATGTCCTTATCTATGTAAATCATAACTTACATTTTATAATATGAAATGTCTACGTCAACAACTTTTATTTGTGAATTAATATCAAGTGTGGCCGGATTGATACTGCTTGAAAATGAAATTTCAAAAACTATAGTTGAATCATATGCTTCTAAAATATTGAGAGAATATGTTAAGTAATTAACACATGTTCTTGTTTCATTGTTTGAGTATTATTAATACTCACATACACCACATACCTGATTATTCATATAAAAGCCTTCTTTACAGAATAAGCAATCTGTAGACTATCCACCAGAACAAGTTTCACATGTTGTATCGCATATCAAGCATGATTTATCTGATGGATATGTACCTATGGGACACTTTATATTTTAATATTAATTATATACTTGTTTCTCACAATTAGTATTTAATTCATTCATAAAATAGGGATCTGGGCAATTTGGCAAACATTATCTAGATATAGGTTAACCATAAGTGCCAGAAGGACAAAATTCTTTACATTAGAAGTCATTCACATCTCCATATAATGGGAATTCACATGTTAATTCACAACTGTCAGTGATTGGAGAATGAAAATTAGGAAGTTTGCAAATGTAGCATTCTGATGAACTTCTTCCAAAACATGTTATCTTATTATTTGATTATTCTTTACACATTATGAACTACAATCAGAACATTCATTATCTGATTCACTATCCATACAATTACCACAAATCAATCTCAAAGGTTTAATACATTTAGTACAACCTGTTGGAGAACCATTATAACATTCTAAACATTTATCATTGCATTTTAAGCACTATTTCACATCATTTACTATGTCTGGGTAATAATTAGTTGGACAATTTGTGACACATTGATTATTGCTTAATAATAAGGGAGAAACCTAAGAGTTAGGTCAAAATTGATACACAAGCAGTACAAATTGTAATTTAATCACATTCAACACAATTCTGATCTAGATAAGATTCATATGAGTACCTAAACAAGCTAATGTATATGATAGCAACATAAAAAGAAGCATAATTTGAATTATAAATTATATAAATGTTAACTTAAAGTTTTTATTAAATAAATAGTAAAAGTCACCAATATTTAACTTAATTGGTATTATTGTTAGTTAGCATCATTACTTTATTGAGTAAGTCATCATCATGAATCTCATTGTAATAACCCTATTTGGATGATTAATTTGTTCCAGATATTTTTCTTTATTAATATTTATCCTAAACAGGTTAATTATATTTATCCTATTAAGTATATCTATCTTATTAAATATATCTATCCTATTTATCAAATCTATCCAACCTAGTATCAGTATGAGTTTATTATAATTGTCTAGGATCTTTTTATTCATAATCATCATAATGATATCTAAGAGGTGATTAAGAATGAGTATAACTTCCTTATTATTAATGTGAAACAGAAGGGACAGAATATTATGTTTATAATTACTTTTCTAAAAGAGTATTTTTCATAGAAAGTTCTAAAATTTTATCATTAGCTTCCTTTAATTTCTTGTTGAGTTTTTTATTCTTTTAAATTAATGTTCTATTTTCTTCTGTAATCTATTATATAGTTTACTTTTATGCCTAATTTTAATTTTAAAGTTCATTTTCTTATTAAACAAGTTTAGGTTTAGTATCATATTATTCTTATATTTATTAAGCATATTAAGGAACTTAAGCAAAACTTGGGAATTATGATTAACTAAATATAATCTATGCATTCTAGGGAGAGGGTAAAGGATTAACTTCAATTAATTATATTCTATGTTGTAATTCTCTATTTCTTCTTTTTAAAGTTTCATTTTCATTTTCAATATCATGTATTTATTCTTCTCTATTTTTATTTGATCTTTCTAAATCACCAATATCTTTGAGTTATTAAGATAAAATTTTTTTTAATTTTTCTATTTCTTCATTTTAAGTTTTATTATTATCCTTATTATCATTATTTTCCTTTAAGTATCTATCCTTAAGTATTTTATAATCATCTTATAAATCACTAAACCTCTTTTTTAAATTATCAAGATCTTTCTATAAAGTAACAGCTTTATTTCTTTCTTATAAATATTTATCATGTTCATCTTAATAAAGACGAGTTAATTTATCTTAAACTTTTTATTCTTATTCTAATTATTCTTCTTCCATATCACCAATTTTTCTCTATAAATAATGAATTGTATCATCTTTCTTTCTTATATCTGTTAATAATTAATCTTTATCAGTTTTCAAAATTTCAAAATCTGTAGCAACTTACTCTCTTCTTTATTTTTCTTTTCTTAATTCATCTTCTACAAATCTAGTTCTAACTTATATTTTATCAAAATCACTTTTATATTAACGTTTATCATTTCTTTCTTAATCTATTTATCTAGCAAATTTAATCATTATTTCATTTTTTTCTTCTCTTATTTTATCTCTTTCAATTCTTAATTCTTAATTTTCAGTATCTGCATTATTATATTTTAATTTATATTCATCTAAATCTTTTCTTAATCTTCTTATAACATCTTTATCTTTACTATCTTCTATTATTTTTGTAAGTTCTTCTATTTAATGTTATAAATCAGACATGTCTAATTTAAATCTATCTTGAATCAATTTTTATTCTTTTGTATATTCTAATTTGATAGTTTCAACTTTAGCAATTTCAAGATCTAAATTTCTTTTCAATTGATAAATAACTTCATTTAACTTTTCAATTTCATTTTATTTAACATCAAGTTATTATCTATGAGGTATTTCTAATTCATTTAACAATTTAATTCTAATCATATCCTAATCAAAAGATGGACTTAATTTATTTTAGATTTCTTCCAATTCTCTTTATTTTTGTTCTATTAACAATTTCCAACTTTTACTAGCATTATCAAATTATTATTCTATCTACTTTTTTTCATTAAATATAACTCTATATTTTTAATTCAATTCATTATTATCCTATTTTAATTTATCAACCTATAATTTTAATTCATCATTTATAGCTTATAAAGTTTCAAATTCATCTAAATGATGCTATGATTATAATACTTATCTTTCTTGATATAACAGCTTTTGATGATATAATAGCTTTCTTTAATTATGTATTCTCTTCAATCAATCCATCCATTTAATTCATTTATTTTTATTTTTTAATTTATTCGTTAAAATATATTTTAAAATACCTATTAAATTTGATGGAAAATATTAGAGTCTTGGTTAGAGTAAGACCATAAAATTATAGAGAAACTCATTTAGGTGCAAATGTTTGTGTGTCTACAACAGCCAATACCATTACATTGGATAATAAGAAAGAATATACTTATGATCATGTATTGGGTGCAGATTCAACATAAGAATAAGTCTTTGATAAAATTGGTAATTCTACACTTCAATCATTTCTTGATGGTTTGAATTGTTGTATTTTTGCATATGGTTAAACAGGTGCTGGCAAAACTTATACAATGTAAGGAAAAGGTTATGATGATATTACAAATGATAGTGTACATCTAGGATTATAACCACGTTTGATATAATAATTATTTAATGAATTACCAAAAGAGAATAATTGGATAATCAAATGTACTTATTTAGAAATTTATAATGAATAATTGATTGATCTCTTAAATGATGCAAAACCTTTGCCTTTAACAATAAGAGAAGATTCTAAAAGAGTTTATGTTGAAAATCTAACAGAAATTGCTGCTGCATCCTTTGGTGATGTTTTATCTTTAATGTAAAGAGGATTAGCCAATAGACATGTATCCGCAACATAAATGAATTTGGAGAGTTCTAGAAGTCATTCAATATTCACATTATAATTGGAATAAAGAAATAAAGGAATGTATACTAGGAAAAGTAAAATGAATTTTGTTGATTTGGCTGGAAGTGAAAGATAAAAATTAACAGCAGCTACTGGAGACAGATTAAAAGAAGCATCTAATATTAATAAATCACTTACAGTCTTAGGTTTAGTAATTAATTCTTTAGCAGAAAATCCAAAGAAATTTATTCCTTATAGAGATAGTAAATTGACATTCCTTTTAAGAGAAAGTTTAGGAGGAAATTCTAAAACTGTTATGATAGCTACAATATCTGCTGCTAGTTCTTCTTTTTAAGAAACTCTAGGTACTTTGAAATTTGCATCAAGAGCAAAAAATATAAAAAATTAAGCTATTGTTAATGAAGAAATAGGTGATAATTTGGAATCTTTGAAAGCAGAAATAAAACGATTGAAGAATGAATTGTAATCATCTATATATCAATCTGAGATAATTCCAAAGAAATAAAAAGAAGTGGAATTAATTTCATAAATAACTAGTTTAAATTATCAATTAAATGAAAGTAATTAATATTAGGATCATTTGACATAAGAACTTAAATAAATGAAGGAGTATTATGAATCCAGAATAACTGAAATGGAAGATTACAGTACTAAAAATTAAAATTGTTCATAATTTGGTATATAAGGTAAAGACTTATAATTGGAATAGTCATTAGAAATTTAAAAAGATTTGAAATATAAAAATGAATTATTAAATTAAAGAATTTTAGAACTTCAACAAGAAGATGCAATTTTAAAACATAGAAGAAATGAATAATAATTGATTATCACATAATTAGAGTAGAATTTATAATTACTATAAAATGATAAGGAAATGCTTATAAATTAATTAAAGTAAAAAAGTACCTTAATCTAATAATATGAAAATTAATTGGAAATATTTTAAGAAAATAAAGCTTAATAATTATAAGAACTTGAAAATAAGATTTCAGAATTAAATGACTAATTATAAATTAATAAAGATTAGATGGATACAGATGCATAAACTATTGAATTTTAATGTGAAGAAATTTAAAGATTATAAAATGAAATTGAATTAAATAAAACTCTATTAGAAAGATTATAATAGGATTGTTTAAATCTTTAGAGATAAATGATAGAAAAGGAAAGTTTGATTAAAGATTAATTGAAGGAACTTTTAAAATTTAAGAGAAGAAGTGAACTTAAGTCAAAAAAGGTGTTAAAATCATTGAAGGTATTAAAAAAAGAAAAGGAAAACTTCACTTAGTTGGAATAAAAATAAATGGAATTCTTATCTTAATTAAATACTACAATGGAATTAGATGAAAATTAATTGACTTATGAATTAATTTAAAGTGCCTTATAAACAAAATTATAAAATGTTAAGACACAATATGATAAATAAATATAAGAATCATAATTATTAAATGAATAGAAAGTATATTACTAAGACTTATTTAATTAAACTTAGATTAATTTGGATTAAATTAAGAGATAAAATGAAGTATTAAAGATTGAATCACAAAAGAATAAAGTAAATTAGGAAGGAGTCTAGAAATATGAATAATTAAAAGAAGAGTTTCAATATTAAAAGGATAAATTAAGTAAATTCTTAGATAGTTTTGATATAATCAATTAAAAATTAATTATGAAAGAGAACGAAGTATTAAAATTAAGATCTGAATTAAAATTAGAGTAGACTCAACGTTCTAAGTCATTGGAAGAGATTGATAAGTACTATATTTTAATATCAAAGACTACGTACAGCCAAGATTGAATTAACAAATTTAAAAACAGAATTAGAATAAACAATTTAATAGTTATAATGTAATAATTAGAATGAGACAGATGAAAGTAAGCAAAAGAAGTTGTCAGATAATGTTCTTATGTTATAGAAAGCAAATTAGAAGCTTAATACTGATTTATCTATTTTATAAAGACAATATAAGTAACTATATGAGGAGAAGGATATTATGTAAAAGAAATATGAAGAAAAACTTATGTATTAGGTGGATATAAATAAATTAAGAAAAGATATAAATATCACAAATCAATTAAAATAATAATTGGATAAGAAGGAAAGAGAATATTAATAATTATTTGATGAAACTAAAATACTAGAGGATTTTTTTAAGAATATAAATGTGAAGAGATTTTGTAATTATCAAATTCAAAATGAAGGAACTATAAGTGAGAAAGTAAAATAATATTTCGAATTTTTGGATGTATGAATATTAAATCTTAATATTTAGCAATGTGAGTAAGAATTTGAAAATAAATAATATAAATTAAAAACGAATTTACAATTGTTACATATCGAATAAGCAAATTGTAATATAGTTAAAGAAGAAAATAGAATGTTAAAAATGCAATTAAAAATGTGAAAACAATATTTATATTAATTAATATTAATATGATTAATTAACAGCCAATTGAGGATTTGGATTCTGATGATATTGATGTCATTTTTAGAAGAATCAAAATAATATTCTTTTTTAGTTTATTGCAATTAAATGTTTCAGGAGGATTGATGTACTTACATCTAGGCTTCATTTATTATATGATAATTGATGGAATTGCAATAGTTTATTCAATCTTGTTGTAAGCCATCCTAAATAAATTAGAGAATGTATTGGTCCTATGATTAAAATAGAAAAACTATTTAAGCCTAATAACAACATATAGAAACTACAAACAATTTCTTAACTAGATTTTAATTAGTTTTTAGTGTTACTTTGACAACAATCTTTATATATGAATTTATGGGATTTCTACTAATAACTATCTAAGAGTAAACTATTCAAGACTTATTTATTTTCTTAATAATAATTGGATTTCTACTCTAAATTTTAATCTAAATTGTAATTTTGTTAACCAATAGTTACTTTTGTAAATCACCAAATGTATTAAGATTATCAATATATTTTTAAAGGTATATATTAATAATAATATTATTTAAGTCTTACACTTTCTCTATTGATATTTTTGAGTTGGATTAGAATATATTAAGTGTAAGAATTACCTTAATAACTATAAACAGCTGATTATTGGATAGAATGGAATACATTACTCTAATTACCAACTCTTTTATTTTTAGCTATATCAATCTTATTCAATTATTTGGGTAATAAAAAAGCTTATAATATTTTGGGAACTATATTTTTGCTATTATCAATTTTGCACACAGTCTTTGGTTGCTTAGTTATTAGAAATGGATAATATTGGGTTCCAGTAAATGATTAATTGCCTTTAAGAGCATTACATAGTGATATTATTTAAGATTTGGGTTGTACAAAATATATCAAAAATGATAAGTGCACATTATTGTATCAAGTGGAGGCATGGGAATAGAATAATGAATTGAAATGTTTATCTAAGGATTGTGAAGAAAAAGCGATTAATTATATAAAGAATCTAAATTTACAATTGGGTTTAGTGTTTCTTTTTGAAGCCACATTACTTTTTATGAATACATATGCTATGTATACAATTTCAGTCAAATATTAAATAAATAAATTACTTAATCCTCTTACTTAGAAAATTATTATTGGGATATTCTTTTTAACAATAATTATTGGAATTATTTGTTTAGAGTCAATACCATAACCCAAAATTTAGACTTAACCTTCTATGGATTATTTAATTGAATCAGATATGTTACCTGAATTTGATTAAATTAATTTTATTTAAATTCCAAATAGTTTTAATATATCAGATTGTTAAATTGTCAAAAACATATAAAAAATTAATGAATTTCAAGTAATTAATTGTGATACAAATTGTGAATAAGAGTAATTCATTATTTCATTGACAAGTTAAAATAGTTTATTTAAATAGTTAGAACCTAATTCAGTAAAAACGTTTAATTAAGAATTTACAAATTAATATTTCAACAAAAATGATATACAACAATAAATTGTAATAAAAGGAAATAAAAATGAAGTTATTGAAGGGATTAATCATATATAAGTGTGTTCTGATAATTCTTAAATATAAATGGAATTTTCTATTTATTAGGTTAAAGATTAAAAAAGTAGATTACTTTAAAGTAATTCATAATAATAATAAAATAAGTTATTAAATGTTGAATTAAAATTGATAGATATATTAAGCAATAGATTAATTCGAAAAGGAACATTAAAAGTGTATAAAGAATTCATATAATGTTCTCATATAAAAAATCAACCATATTTTGAATTATCTATTAATGATGATAATGTTATATATAATGTCAAAAAAGGTTCATATTTAACTATTCTTTTTTAAAATGAAAAATATTTTGATTATTGTGGAAATTTCTAAGTTTTAGAAAATCAATTAACTATAAATGCTTTTAGATTGAATAACAATAAATTTACTATAATAGTTAAATGGTAGGATGAATAAGAAGTACCAGTTTACTTAATTGCAAATCAAAAAATAGGAAAACATATTAATTGTTAAGTTGGTGGTTATTTCACTGGGTGTGCACATATCAAAAGCAAATAAAACAAGAATTGTAAGAATTATTTAATATTATTAGATTCTTTACTTTAATTTTAAGAATATTTGAATAATGCTATTATATTCTTGTAAGATTATTAAGTAGATAATTATAATTCTTTAGATTTATCTTTAAATATATATTATAATGGTGTCTCATATACAAGATATATAAATTATTAAAGATCACAAATCTTAAAAATATTATGCATTGATAATCATGGTGATTTTAAAATTATTTAAGAAATTGATAATATTAATTTATACCCAAAGACTTGTTGAATATAATAATTTATATTAGATATATCAATCATTACTAGTAATTACTTTAGATTATTCAAGTTATGATTATTATAAATTTGAATCACCAGGTATGGGTATTACGACAGAATTCTTTTCAGAGGGAGCTTTATCTTCTGTATGGAGTTGTTATTATTATTATTATTATTATTATTATTACTATTATGGATTTTATGAATAAGGATTAAATGAGCCTTAAAATTGATTGCCATATTATTCTTATTATTTGTTAGGTTATTAATAAATATTATTATCAAAGGCTTATAAATTGCTAGCCACTTTAGTAGTGTCTTCTGTCGTTTTATAGATAGTGGAAAGAGGTTTTGGAATTTATTATGGTTATTTAATATTATTGATTTGAACTCTTCCTCTTTCATCAACTACTACTTTTATATTTCGATAGAATTAATCAATTTCTTTTTTAGTTCTAGTTTCTTCTAATTTATAGCCATTGTGAATTTATTAAGTTAAATCTCTATTATATTTATCTTCTAATTCTCTTTAATAATCTTTTTCAGCATATCCTTTGGGTAGACCATGATCTGAAAAATGTGTATAAAACCTCTATTGTTCAATCACTAAATCAATAACAGGTACATGTTCTTATATTTCTTCATCAGTTGGTTCTTTTGGTCTATAAGGAGTAATAAAAGCATCTTTAGGAGTAGGATTAGTTTTTTCATACTTATAAAGTGTTTAAAAAGGACTTTCTTGTTTTATAGGTATATAATGTTCTTTATCAATATATTCAGGATAGGATTAATTATAATTATAATCAGGTCTCCTTTGTTATGCTAAATAGTCATGATAAGATGGCATAGAGTAATAGTTTTCTGGATATAATGATTTTGGTGGTTATGATAAGTAATTTGATTGATAAGGACGATAATGAGATCTAGTATTATAGATTTCAGGTCCACTGAACAAATTCATTGAAGGTACAGATGACATGCTATATTAAAATCGTTAAATAATAATATTAATATAATATTTGTATTTATTAAGAATTAGCAACTAAAAGTATTTCAAATAATAATATTAAATCTAAGTAATCAATATATAATTAATTAAGTACTTATTAAATGAAGGGACTAATCAACTCATAAATATAAAATTAATATAATCAATTGTATTTACCAAATGCAAGAGAAACATTGACACCTCCAAATCCAAAAGCATTTTTTAAAGCATATTTTAATGTTCTCTCTGTGGCTTCCTTACAATATTGATTATCTCTAATTATAGGTTTATCAAGATTGATAGTTGGAGGAACAATTTATTCTTATAAGGATTTTATGGTGAAAATAGATTCAATAGCACCAGCTGCTCCAAAAGTATGACCTAGTTAACTTTTATTAGCAACTAAAATAGCTTTAGAATCAGCAATAGCTCTAGCCTCTGCTATATCCCCTCCTTTTGTAGATGTAGCATGACAATTAATGAGATCTACATCATTAATTTTAGCTTCCTTCATTGCTTTTAACATTGCAGCTTTTCCACCCTCTCCATTATCTTAAGGTCTAGTCAAATGAAATGCATCACTACTTTCACCATATCCTAATATTTCAGCATATATTTTAGCTCCTCTTCTCCTTGCTCTCTCATATTCTTCCAATACTAAGATTCCACTTCCTTCTGCTAATAAGAATCCAGATCTGTCTTCATCAAAAGGTCTTGAGGCTCTTGTAGGATCATCATAAATTTTTGTTGACATAGCTTACATTTTGATTGAAGCATATATAGCTGTAGTATTGAAAGTATCTTCTGTTCCTCCAGCTATCATTACATCAGCATCACCATATTTAATTTTTCTAAAAGAATCTCCAATAGCTGATGCTCCTGTTGCACATGCAGTTGATGCTGTACTACTTGGACCTTTAAGTTTATATTTAATGGTTAATAATGCAGTTGGCATATTAGATAATACATAGAGCATTGTAAATGGATTGATTCTACTATTACCTTTCAAGGCTGCATTACTAATAATTTCTGTGATTTTAGTCATGCTTGAATTCATCACTCCAATATTGACACCCTAAAAATGTAAGATGGAATAAAATTACAATTCTATCTGGATCACAATCATTTAGTACACTTGAATCTGTAATGGCTTCTTATGCAGCACACATAGCATAAGAGGTCAAATTACTAGGACAATATTCAACTTAATATGGTTTACTATCAAATGATTATGGTATGAGTCCCATATATACATCTGGTAAATCTTTATTTCTATCTTTCACTTTGACAACACCACTTTTTCCTGTAAGTAAACTATTCCATGATTCCGATACATTTAAACCTAATGGAGATACCATTCCCATTCCTGTAACAACTACTCTTCTCATTGAAATATATTGAATATTTTAAATTTATATAAAAAACTTGAAATTAACACTAATGTAGTAGATAGCTCCTGAAGAATAATTAACAGATTAATAGATTATAAATATCTTGTAAGATTGTAAGATGATTTAATTTAATAATATTAAGAAAATTAGATAAGTTAGAATACTACAAATATATAAGCATTTAGATCAAATCAAATAAATGTTTATAAGAATTTACGTAATAGATCTATTTTCAAATTGGCATTTACTATTGTAGAATTATTGCTATTTTTTTTGGCTTTGGGTTTGTTGCCTCCACCTTGTGTAGAAACAACTTTAAATGAATTTTTCATTTTGGCTATAATTGCTAATACAATTGTACTTTTTAAAATAATAATAGGAAGCCTTTAGAATAATATACCTATTATTGATAATATATAATGATTTGATTGAAATATATCAAAATGAAAATGAGAATATAATACCTTATCCTGAATTTTCGTTTGCTAATACTAAATACCTGTTAGAAGCTATATCAGATTATCATAGTTCTTACAAGTTTATAAAATATTTAATGATTGTGTATAAATGTGTCCATGATTTGGTAGTTTAGATATAGTTGTATTTATGTTTGGATAAGTATAAATTTATAGTAATTTATATGGAAAATGTAGAATTGGGATTCCTGAATTTAATTTTACTTGGGGTGTGGCAATCACATTTTTAATAATGAGATATATAACTATAGGAATTCCTACTTTAATAGTAGTGATATATATTTTAGTATTACCTATTGCATATTGTATAAATATGAGACATCTTTAAAAAAATAATAGAATTGGAGCTACTTAAGAAAATTTAGATAAATTAAAGGTTGAAATAGTTGGAATAGATAGAATAAGTGAGGATAATGAATGTATAATATGTCTATAGGAATTTATTGAAGGAGAAGAGTTCATAAGATTGGATTGTCACAAATATCATGTATTCCATAAGATTTGTATTTCTGATTGGTTAAAGGCTAGATTAGAATGTCCAAAATGTAGACACCCTGTAAGATTTAACTGATAAATTCATAAATTAAAAGTACTATATAAATTTGCATTATATAAAATGAAGATAGTTATTAATAAATTTAAAAATTAAATCAAGTTAAATGGCTTAAGCAGATAGAAAGGCAGTAGTAAAGAATGCAGACATGTCAGANAATCTTTATTTCTATCTTTCACTTTGACAACACCACTTTTTCCTGTAAGTAAACTATTCCATGATTCCGATACATTTAAACCTAATGGAGATACCATTCCCATTCCTGTAACAACTACTCTTCTCATTGAAATATATTGAATATTTTAAATTTATATAAAAAACTTGAAATTAACACTAATGTAGTAGATAGCTCCTGAAGAATAATTAACAGATTAATAGATTATAAATATCTTGTAAGATTGTAAGATGATTTAATTTAATAATATTAAGAAAATTAGATAAGTTAGAATACTACAAATATATAAGCATTTAGATCAAATCAAATAAATGTTTATAAGAATTTACGTAATAGATCTATTTTCAAATTGGCATTTACTATTGTAGAATTATTGCTATTTTTTTTGGCTTTGGGTTTGTTGCCTCCACCTTGTGTAGAAACAACTTTAAATGAATTTTTCATTTTGGCTATAATTGCTAATACAATTGTACTTTTTAAAATAATAATAGGAAGCCTTTAGAATAATATACCTATTATTGATAATATATAATGATTTGATTGAAATATATCAAAATGAAAATGAGAATATAATACCTTATCCTGAATTTTCGTTTGCTAATACTAAATACCTGTTAGAAGCTATATCAGATTATCATAGTTCTTACAAGTTTATAAAATATTTAATGATTGTGTATAAATGTGTCCATGATTTGGTAGTTTAGATATAGTTGTATTTATGTTTGGATAAGTATAAATTTATAGTAATTTATATGGAAAATGTAGAATTGGGATTCCTGAATTTAATTTTACTTGGGGTGTGGCAATCACATTTTTAATAATGAGATATATAACTATAGGAATTCCTACTTTAATAGTAGTGATATATATTTTAGTATTACCTATTGCATATTGTATAAATATGAGACATCTTTAAAAAAATAATAGAATTGGAGCTACTTAAGAAAATTTAGATAAATTAAAGGTTGAAATAGTTGGAATAGATAGAATAAGTGAGGATAATGAATGTATAATATGTCTATAGGAATTTATTGAAGGAGAAGAGTTCATAAGATTGGATTGTCACAAATATCATGTATTCCATAAGATTTGTATTTCTGATTGGTTAAAGGCTAGATTAGAATGTCCAAAATGTAGACACCCTGTAAGATTTAACTGATAAATTCATAAATTAAAAGTACTATATAAATTTGCATTATATAAAATGAAGATAGTTATTAATAAATTTAAAAATTAAATCAAGTTAAATGGCTTAAGCAGATAGAAAGGCAGTAGTAAAGAATGCAGACATGTCAGAGGAAATGCAATAAGATGCTATCGATTGTGCTAATCAAGCATTAGAGAAATTCAATATTGAAAAAGATATTGCTGTAAATCTAATTATTAAGATTATAGGCATTCATTAAAAAGGAATTTGATAAAAAGTATAATCCCACATGGCATTGCATAGTTGGTAGAAACTTTGGATCATATGTTACACATGAGACAAAGCATTTCATTTATTTTTATATGGGATAAGTTGCAATACTCTTATTCAAAAGTGGATGATTTGTTTAATATAACATATAGATATATATATATATACATATGTTAATTATCTTTTTATTAATATTATAATGACAAGATGATAAAAATAATAAATTGGAATAATCTATATATTTGAATAACTGCAATTTCAATAATCTTCTTCTTCACAATAAATGCCTTCCTTTTTGAGTTCTTCATACAAAGGAGTATTAATCTCTGAAATATTTGGCATATGAACTCCAGTTACTTTGATCACTCCATCCAAAATCAATTAAGTAGCAACAGCAGTTGGAACACCTACTGTAATAGCCATTGCAGATCTAGATAAATATATTAGATATAGAAATATACTTTCCATTTCTATGTCCAATCTTTACCATAGTAGATTTTTTGACATAAATTCTGGGATCATTAGGATAAACAATTTTGAAGATGTGTTACATGGCTACTAAATCAGTTTCACCTTATCTATAATTCATAAGAGTTTAAAGATGAGCAGCAAAATTATGGACATGAGTAACATTATTTAAAATCAGATTTTTAGGATCAAATATTCCCATCCACTTCAAAGTATAAGTTATTTATTCTGCATCCTTATATAATTATTCTTCACTTTTATCTTTATAATAATATTAAGAGAACACACGATTAAACACTTTAGTTAATAATGTTTCTAATTGAGCTAACGTAAACACCTTTTAATCTATAGTATTAGCTAATTAAGTAATATGATGATTGGCCAAATAATTAGTTGAACAAGACTCAAACCTTATATTGCTCAATAAATATTCAAACCAACTCATCTCTCTATCAACCTTAATTATATCCTCTGATGCAAATCCTAAAGACTTCATTGCTGCCATTAATACACAATGTCCTTGATATCTTAATGTTCCTCTTACTAATTTCTAACAGTCTTTCAAACCATATAATTCTTAATATGGTAAACTATCTCTATTAGGATATCCTTCCATTTATAATGATGGATTAACATGAATAATTTCAGTTGAATAAAGTAATTCAGATGCTGGAATATATTTTTAAACTCCATTTTCTAAGTATTTTGCATCATTATTGATATTCCTTATAGCTGCAAAAGGACTCCATGAAAATTTATAACCAAAAGGATTATCACAGAATTCTGGACTTGGAACACCTCCACACCAAGATTCATATTCAATAATTCTTAATTTTATAATATAAATTTACTTTCCTCCTTTAGCATATACTTCATCTCTCACTTTAACAGTTGCCAAATGATCAATTCCTGGATCTAATCCAATTTCATTCAACATTATTATTCCCTTTTTTTTACATTCTTCTTCCAAAGCTCTAATCTCTGGAAATGTATATTATGATGTAATCATAGATTTTCCTACTTCTGCACATATTTTAGCAATAGGAACAATAAATTATGGTGGAATATAAGCTATCACAATATCTGAATTCTTAACAAATTTTCTTAACTCCTCTGTTTCTGTTACATCTAAATGATGAGCTGAACATCTCTCTTTATTCTATATAACTTTTCTAGCATCTTCTACATGTGCAGAAGCAACAACAACAAAATTCTAAAAAATTATTCAAATAATACGTCATTTCTCTTTAATAATTAATCAATGACAGCTTCTGCCATCAAACCACTTCCAATAAGAAGTATCCTTTTTTATTATCCTATTAATTGATTTCTATACAAACTTAACATTTATATATATATATATTAATTTATCAATTATAAAATAAAGTGATCATCTTTTATTGCATAATTTTACTCTCATTATTATTAATACATAATAATTGAGTAAAAACAATCATTCATAAACAAGATCAATCTTTTACAATAATATTCTACAAAATTAGGATCTTTGTGTTTTTATTAATTTATATATATATATGCAAAGTATAAAATAGCTATTAATAGATATACTAGATAATATTGATCAAGTACTATCATTTTCATTTTAGGATGTTGTTGAATCTTATTAATAAATAAATAAATTGACTACCAAAGAGATTTGTGGATAGTCTGAAATATAATAATATGAGTACATACTTTAAATTGTAGCTTATTTAAATCGGTTGCTATGTTATTTAATACTTTTATAGAATCAAAATACTATTTGAAGAATAATTAGATGAACATATAAATAATGATTATGAAACAATTATACAAAATCTTGAAGCATCAATACGTTCCCATATAAGAGTTGAACAATAATAGAAATTGTAAATAGAGATTATTACATAAAAACTTGAAGAAATTATTCGTGAAAAAGATCTTATCATATAACAACAATAAGATAAAATACTATCATTAGAATAGATTATAAAAGTATCTATCGATTATTTCTAGGACTAAAACAAAAAGCTATAAGAAACTTCCCCTGTAGAAATTATACATAAGAAAACTCCTTCTGCTTTTGACAGATTGGGTAAATTCATTCAAAATAAGGCTTAAAAGAATATTCAAAATTCTACTTAGGATACAAATTTCAAGACTTTTTTAAAGGCTTTTCATACTGATGCTGATCGATCTATATCTAAAGGTAGAAGATAACTATCAGCTAAACGAGAACTTGGGTTGCAAAGAATAAATGATGAAACATAATTAAATCCAGAATTGAAAATTACTGAAACTGATAGATAAAGAGAAAATGTGCGACACAAACTTTAAAGGTCAGATAAAACCAATGAATTGTAACATCAATCACCTGAAAAATAATTGTACTTGAATAAATATAAAGGATTATCTAAGGTTAATTAATTGAATATTCTTATAGTTTGATATAATAAAATAAGAATAAACTATTTCTAGTTAGAGTTTTGATTAAGTAGGTAAGAATTTAATTGCATTGTAAAAATAAATATCTAATGGTCGCTTAAAAAACACTTAAGGAACTTAATTACTTAAATTTTTATAAAAGAAATGAGTTTATTTAAATTAGATAGATTCACAAATGATTATTCTTAAGAATTTTAAAGCTAAATCTCATACTTTTAAAATATTATAAAATTCTAATATTCTAAAATATAATTGTGTTATTTTTTATAATGATTTGGAAAAAATTGGATGCTCTTTTATCAAAAGCAGAAACTAAAGGTTTTAAGATGGCTAATAAAGCACATGTATATGTTGTGAATGGAATCCTATGTCTTATAGCATACAATGTATACACAGTATTTAGAGGTTATAATGAATTCTTTTTGGAAGCAAGAGTATAATATTTCAAATATTTTTAGCAAGAAGCAGCTCCAGATCTTGATGATGTTACAGGTGAACCTTAATATCCAATCAATAAGAATATACGCAAGAATTGATTATGACTATTAATTAACATTATTATCATTCTCCTCTTGCAGCTTAAATATATTTATATATTTAATCATTGAATAAAGAGATTTTATAAGTTATTATTAATAACCTTAAAAATGTGAAATCTTCATCCATATCTATATAGTATAAGTATATTAAAATGAATGAATAATATTTAAACATAATAAAAATTAATTAAGAATAGCTTAAGCTATTTATTAAAAATGTCTAAAGTTTATGAGAGTGTTAATAACTAAAACTAAATCTAGGAAGCAGAAAAGAACTTTGATTAAATTTATATGCATGAGAAACCATATATAGGTAAGGCACCTGTAAAAGGTACTTATAAAGACAGTGCAATGACATTAATTAAAGGATATGTAGGATCAGGAATATTGGCAATGCCATTCAGTTTTTATGTTGGAGGTTGGCTTTTATCAATTTTCATCTTCTTAATAAGTGCCTATATGCTAATATTATGTGTTCATTACCTAATTGAAGTAGCAAATGCAGAAAACAAAGAAGATTAAGGTCTCACAGAAGTGGCTGAAGTTACATATGGTGAGAAAGGAAAACAAGTAACAAAAGTCATTTTAATTGCCTATTAATTAGGAAAAGCTGTGGCATATTTGATTTTCTTTATCTCCTTCTTTGCCCATATATTTTCTAATGCTGATAGTTAATCTGGAGCAGGTAATTGGATATATCTAATAATGGCATTCTGTATTGTGCTTCCTCTCTCTTTTATTGATAATATGGCTAGATTTGCTAAATTAAGTTTATTTGCTAACACTCTCATCCTTATTGGTTTAGTTTATATAACATGTAAGAATATTTAAATTTATCATATAGTCTATAACTTTTACCAAATATTGGAAGGAGATGGAATCAAAGAGAATGTGATGAATTTGGCACATTTTGAGTAATTTCCAATGATTATTGGAGTAACAGCTTATGGTTTTGGAGTTCTACCTCTTGCTTTTGCAATTAGGGTTACGATGTCAGAACCAACTTAATTCAAGAATGTAAGATATTATTCTTTATTAATTAGCTTTTTAATGTTGTTTCATATTTTAATTTAGGATTATTCCTTGCTTTTACATTACTATCAGTTTGGGGTATGGGTAGTAGAATGGAAAGTTAATAAATTATCTTATTTTGTCTTGATAAAAATCCATCATCTTATATAATCTAAATTTGTTATGCTTTTGGATTGATTTGTTCATACCCTTTATAAGTGTTACCAGCATTTTAATAAATAGAAAGAATTGAAAAATTAAAAAGTTATATAAATCCTGAATTAAAATATTCAAGTTTCCGTAGATTGGCAATTAGATCACTTATTAATTTAATACTTGGATTGATAGGATACTCTATTCCTAAATTTGCTTATTTTGTAAATATACTTGGAGCTATAGGTGGAGCTTCTTTGAATTTTATATTTCCAATATTAATTCATAAAAAATATTTTGAAAAAGATGAATTAAAAAGAAAGAGTAAATTTAACTACTATGGAATTCTAACATTTGGAATCTGTGGAGGTTTATGTTCATTTATATATACTATAGTAAAATTAACAAGTCATTGATTATTATTATTATATGTTATAATTAAAAAAAGAATAATTTCGATAATAAATAAGAAGACAACGTTTAGATGATCATTTGATGAAAGCAAGACATCATATGTTATCTATTATTTAAACACATTAAAATGAAATTAATATTAATAGAAATGATTCACCATCTAAACCAGATTAAATTTGTATAACCAAAGAAATAGCTGAAATAATTACAACTATTTTTAATCAAAAATTAACAAGTTCAAATTTACAATAATTACAATAGATAGTGGATTAATGTGAAATATAGGAATTGGAAAATATTTTTGTACAATTTTTCATAGGACAAAGATTATTATAGGCCTATGAAATAGAATAAGATCTTAATTTAATCACTGATATTCAATATATTATAGGATCCATAACTAAAAAGTCTTAAATTTGTAAAGCAAAACTTTTAGAATTAAATATATTGTAGAGTACACTTAAAGTGTTAAACTATGAAATAGAATATGATGATTATTGCATGCTATCATTAGTATACTTAATTAATACTTTTGTAGAAGCTGATAATGATATTTGTTCAGATTAGAATAAATTACTCTTATTAACAATTATAGAAAAACTTTGTAAGAAATTATACATCATAAATTATCTGGATATGGATATTGAATATGAACAATCTTTAAATGAAGTTTAACATTCACTTATCTCTTAAATACTTTATTTTCTTATTTGTTTCATTTAAAAATCAGAATTCTCTTTTACTATAACAAATTACTTACATATTTGGAAAATGGTTAATTAAACAGCATTCTTATTTTAAGATGCCTCAACTTTAAGAATTAATGCATTATAAGTGCTTGCTGAAATATCGAAGCAATCAAATAAATAAAAATTGAGTATTCTTTAAAACAGTCCTTAAATATTGTTATAATTATTAGAAGTTTTGGAACATCATATAACTTATAATACAATAAACAATTGCATTCGTTTAGAAGCATCATTAATCTTGAAAAATCTATTTTCTATTACGAATTGCTAAATAATGAATGATGTTCATTTAAATAAAATACCTATTAATCTCTTAGAGTTAATGAAATTAGAAGGTATATATTATTATAATAATTAATATTTAGAGCATTAAAAAGTACTTTACCATCAAATTGAAGCTTTATACTATATTTGTGACTAAAGTTCTTTGGAAGAATGCATTGAAATTTATGATAATGGATTATTAAGTTTTATAGTTTCTAATTTTTAGGATATCAAAGATACACAGAATTTTGTTTTATCTAAATCTTTATTAAAATGTAATTAATATATTTATATTCTTAGTAACTTATGCTATTTTAAAACATAGTTAATATGAGTAAAAACTTAGCGATTATTTTAAATAATATAATTTACAATAATGTCTAAATGAAATAATTATAACTTGTAAAAATTAGAAAATTATAAAAAGAACAATCAAAATCTTAAATTATTTTAATATTTGATAAATAATTTTTATTTAATTAATATTCTTATTATCATACAAAATTAATGAAATTTTATTATGCTATTTTATCCAAACCTCTTTTATATTGATCAAGTTCTTATAAAAAAGGAGGAATATAGATATTTTTTGTAAATATTTATCCAATCTCTCCCAAACGAATACAATCCTTTATTGTTATTTTACCACTATGCAAATGAATAAAATTTAATTTGCCTCTATATTTCAAAATCTTTATTGCTCCAGTTAAATATACTTAATCTTTGTACATTCCTCCTGGTTATGATGTATCTCTCAATCCTCTTTTAACTCTCAAACACTCTCGAAATCTAGCTTCATCATCTTAAATAAAGTATTTTAATTCATTAAACAACTTTACAAAACTCATTTAACTAGCCATTATTGACTTATAAATTAATTATTTATACAGAAATATAATGTAAAGCGGCCATAAATAAATAAGGTTTTCCTTTCTATTTAAGAGCCTATGGAAGTACTTAATTCAAAACAGCCAATCCTTCTTCATGTTTTAAGTATGGTTCCAAATGATATTTAGCTCTTGATCAATTTAAATTATACCTTTTCTTGTACCATTGTTATTATCTATCATTTATTTTTCTAATAAAGTGAGTACCAATCTCATGATTCAGAACTCCTTCAATACGATTAATACGATAATTAATTGGCAACCCTATAATTACTTTACTTTTGCCATCAGTTGGATGATGCACTACACTTGTAGGAGCTACAGTATGATCTTAAAATTCATATGATATCAAATCTTAGACACCTAGTTTATTAATATAATCATTAAAGAAATGTTCAGTTTCTTCAATTGATAGTAATTTGCCTCCTTCTTATTCAGCATATTTCAAATCTGAACCAAATTCTTTAATACATTGATCAATAATTTTTAATGCAATTACTTCATACTTACGATGAGGTTAATCTGGTCCAAGTTCCTTTGGAATTAAAATTAGAAATAAACCTTAACTTCTACATATTCAAACTATGGATTGTAAGCAGCTTTCATGGCAAAAAACATATGTTTCTCACTTTCTAAATTTAAGGGCTTAATGTCTTTCATTTTGGGCTACATAGAGGGTTGGTCTATATACTCTTTTGAATTTCGATTTCTTTTTCTAAGGTGAAATGGAAGATGATGTATTGACTTTAATCTTAGTTTTTTTGCCCACTTGTTTTTTATTAGTCTTGGGAGTCTTCTCTACTTATGATTGTTAAGGTAAAACATGTTTGGACCACTTGGTTATATCAAATTATTCAGATAATAATTGTATCTCATTTGCATCCCTAAACTTAATTATTAAGGGAAATAAATACTGGAGAGAAAAGAACATCCTTATTTTCATTTTCACTGCTACTACTGCTATGACTACTAAAACTACTCTCAAGGTATGTTTATTATTGCATAATAAATTATTTAATCATTATTTTAATTTCTATTTATGTATACATTTAAATAGTTTTGACCATATTTTCCTTCAAATAATTGATTATTTATGGAATTATCATCTTTTAATATTTTTATTCTTATCCTATTTTGAATTATTATTAAATATTCATACTATTTATTAATTTATTAATTTTCAATAGATATAAGCATTTTAAAGAAAGAATAAGCTTATATATTTTATTGAATTAGATCATCATTAAAAATTTATATCATAATTATTATATCATCCATTTATCAAATAGTCTTTATAATCAAATTATTCTTCAGGATAAAATGAAGTAATAACAGTTCTCTTATTATATGTACGTCCAGCTAAATGAAATTTTGCCTTTTTTGCAGGAATTTAATAATAAAATTTAACAAATATTTTTCCAACAGCAGGATTGCAGAAACTATGTTAAACATATAAAAATACCCTGATTCTTTATCAGGTCTGGGAATCTCTATTTTTTCAATTTATCCATAACGCATACATTCAGTCCTTATATCTTCCATCAATTCTTCAAAAATGTCATCCTCATATAAATCCTAAACAGAACACTAAAAAATAATTAATATATTATATACCATATTCAAAAATTAAACAACTTTACTAGGAATCAAGGCTGATTGTGGAATTGTTAACATCTATTACACTTAAGGTATTCTTAATAAATCACAAGAAGCTAAAAATGAACCAGCATAATTAGATGGTTGATCTTTTCCATTTACTTTTTTATTTTATTAAGTTTCTCCTTATACTTTACAAATCTTTAACTTTTTATCTCCAATTTATAAATTATTCAGTGCCTTAAGTGCCTTAGCTGTAGAAACAGAATTTTCATATTCAAAAAAACAATAACCTTTTGAAATTTCTGTATTTGAAGTAGTATCCTTAACTAGATTGAAATACTTGGTTATTCCAAAGGATTAAATTAATTTCATAACATCTTCATCCCTTAAATAAGTAGGTAATCCACCCAAATATAATCTAGTATTATCCTCTTATTTTTATTCTGGATTAAGCTCTCCATCTCTTGCTTGTGGATTAAGGATTCTCTCCAAAAATTTTCTAGGTCTTTCCACTTTAATTTTACAATTATTAACAAATTAAACTTAATCTTGTGTTACTAAAGCTCGTTTTGCTTCTTTTGAACTACATTCTAAAACAACCCAGGACTTTGTGGCTCCATATTCAATAGATTTAATTGGCCTGTCATCTAATTTCAGGAATTAAAATACTTATTTTTGGATCAAGAGAAGTAATGAGTGTATTAAAATATTCTTCCAATTCTTTTAATTAAACATTGAGAGGAACATTTGAAATAATCATCATGAATGGATTATTTTCATATATAGCATACTTCTCTTTAATATGTTGAGGAAGGTCTGGATCTTACAAAATTTTAGATTATTTCACTTTATTATGCCAATCATCATCAAAATCTGTTAAGATTTCCTCTATAAATTTTATTTATTTTCAAATTACCTTCTTCTCCCCATTTCTTTTTCTTTTTATTTTTCTTCTTTTTTTTCTTTTGTTCTGGTTGTTAGACTTGATCTTTTTTATCATTCTTTTCATTATCATCTGATTCTCGTTCTATTGACTCTTTTGGTTATTCCTCCTAATTCATTTAAATTAATTAATTATAAGCCCTAATTCATATCTTTTTTTCCCTCTCAACTTTTAAATAAAATTTATATGAGTAATATCCCACAATCATAACAACCACAACAAGCACCATAAGCACCATAACCTTATTATCCATAACCCACTTATGGATAACCCACTTATGCTTAACCCAGTTATGCTTAACCATATGGTGCTCCTCTTTCACCATTGAGATATTCCTATGCCCCCCCAGTCGTTTAATAGGTTGTCCCTTAAACCTATGTCCCTCAATAAGTTGTTGCTCAACCAGTCGTTGCTCAACAAGTTGTTGCCTAACCAGTTGTTGCTCAATCTGTTGTTGCATAACCAACAATCAAAGGTGAGAGCAGAATTGAATATGTACCATATGAAAAAACAGTGCTTGAATATGAAGAAGTGAGATAAAGAATCTAAGTCCCAAGAGAGAAATATGTTACTGATTATTACGCAGTTGAATATTAAACAGAATATGTACCATAAGTCTTCTAAGAAAAATTTACAGGTATGACATTTAAAAATTTAAATTTCCAGAATATGTTCCTGTAGATAGATATCAAGAAAGAGTTGAGTATTATCCAGTTGAGAGATAAGTTGTTCATCAATAACAAGTCTAATAAGTGGTTGCCTAACCAGTTTAATAAGTTGTTACTTAATCAGTCGTTCAACCAGTCTAATATGCTCCATAACCAGTCCAATATGTTCAACAACCAGTCTAATATGCCCCATAACCAGTCCAATATGCTCCATAACCAGTTTAATATGCCCCAGCTCCACTTTAATAAACAACCTATGTCCCTCCTCCAGTTGCTAGTCTTCCATTAGCCTAAACCTAAGTACCAACTAGAACAGTGCCTTAAGCTAGACCCCAATAACCATTAGACAGAACTTAAGTATGACATAATTTAAATAAAAAAAAAGGCTTAAAATCCAAGACCAAACCCATAACCAACCCAATAACCACAATAGAAATAAAAGAGCTTTTTGGATAGACTCTTTGATAGAGATTGATTATCATAATCGTTTATATAACATATAAGCCATATTTTTCTATATTATTGATGTTCCTCTTTTTATGCAACAGTAATATGAATAATCATGCTTTCTTTCTTAAATTTCCAGATAATTGAATTTATGAATTCTTATCTTCCATTTATTACTCATAATCATCAATTGTTTCAAGAGCCTCTCCAAATCCCTTCTCTTATGATTACTCCTTTTCTTGATCTTCCATTTCATAAACCTCTTCACCTTTACCAAATCCTTTTACATTTTTAATCTCTTAAACATCTTCATATACTTCTTCTCCTTTTCCAAATCCTTTAACATTAACCTTTTAACTTTCTTTTCTCTCTTCCTCTTCATAAACATTAAAACCTTTTCCAAATCCTTTTATTTTATTTCCCATTTTTTCATCTTTGAGTTCTCTTTCTTCTTCCTCTTTATATATATTAAATCCATCTCCAAAACCTATTGTTTTTTCATCAAACTTCATTACTCAAAATACTTTAATTGAGTTACCATTCTCTAATTCATGCTTTGCATCTAATTCATTTTCAAAGCACTATTATAATTTTTCAGAGTACTCTTACGCTTACAATTCATTATTTTCATCAAGTTATCCTTGCTTTTCCTATATTAAATTCTCGTTTATTCGGTATGCACATAAATTACTAATAAGCAAGAAACCAAAAACGATTACGATCATTTTATATTAATAAATGAAAATAAAAAATTATTAGCACTAGATATTAGTTATTCTAACTAATAAGTATGCTCTTTAAATAAGTTTTATTTCATTTGAATATTAGAAATTCAATAAAATCACATTGATCCTTTATTCCTTTTACAGTTCGAAATATCTTATTATTTTTTTGAATTGATTCTCTTAATAAAATCATAATATTTATTCAATATTTGATTTTTCTTTTAAGAACTAATATAGAAAATACATATGAGTGTTAATAATTGAGAACTTTACTATTTTATAGATTATTCAAAATTAGTATGAAATATATAAACTTTAGTAATCTTTCCATCTTCAATAGATTTAAAATTTAATTTAATTTATCAACTTATAAGTTGATTAATTTAAATGTATTTTAAGTTATATTAATTTAGATTTCATTATTAATATAAATAAATTTAAATAATAATGAATACATGTTAATTTTTAATATAACTAGTTTTATTATCAATAAATAATTTTATATAAAATCAATATTATGTATGAATTTCTTTTTAATGTAATAATTGTTTTGCTTTAATTTCTCAAATCTTTCAAAATACTATCCTAATGATTATATAAATGATAATATTGATTTAATATTCTGTCATTTTCAATTAATCAATATCAATAAAATTAATTTAGCATTTTTATTAAATAAATCCTTATTTTCAAAATAGATTACAAAGATAATAAGTACTTTTTACAAATATTTTCACATATTAATAAAATTTATCAAATTTTCCACTCATCACAAAGTCTAATGTAAATCACAAGCTAACCTTATCAAGCAATCTCTACAATTTTCCAAGAAAATACTTCAGAAATTTAGAATATTGAATACATTTGTCAAGAATTAAAAACCATCTGTACTGTTTCTTACCAACTTATTTCTCCTAAGATTTAATAGAAATCCATTAGAAAAAAGAAAATAAAGACTAACCTTAAATATGAGAAGAAATATAATGAATCAAAAAAAGTCACTAATCAAATATAAAATAATTAGACTATCCAAAAATAAAGTATTGATAGTTAAGAAGAATTAGAATCAAAGATAACCCTTATTGATAGTCTCTAATAATAATTATTGTACTTAAAAACGATGATATCCAAAATGTGAATTTGGTAATATCTATATTTGTAATACAACATTTTAATTATAGCATTATAATACTAATATTTTTTTCATCTATTTCATTTCCTTTTGTTCATTACGACATAATGCATTAATTTTCTTTATTGAGATAAAAGTAAATTTAGAATTATATAGAAAAATCTTCTCATACCACAAAATAAAATGAATTAACTGATTTAGATTTAATTTTAGTTATAAATAATTTAATGAAAATCATATTACCTAAATACCTAAATTAAGTAAAATTAATGTTAATATAAGCTAATTTTTTATGAATACAATTTCAAATGAACCAACAATTATCTCTAAAAATTAGAATATTTTTAATTTATACAGAAATAAATAATTGTTATTTTAAATTATTAATTTGGAATTCTTCTCAAAATTAGTTGATTCATATTATTTATAAATAACATATAAAATTGAAATTCCATCTTATTTTACTCAGAATATTAATATTTTTTTTGATTATATTCTAAAGTCATTAATTTTAATTCATTAAATTTTTTTATTTTTATTAAGTTTAATGCATTTTTTTCCATTTGATAGAATTCCAGGTAAACTCACTACCTACACTATCATTAAATGTTTAGACAATGGAAGTTAAGGATATGTCTATTAAGTAAAAGGTGACGATAATAAATTTTATGCTTTGAAGAGAGTTCTATAAATGAAGATTAGCGAAAACAATTTCTTAGAAAAGTATTTCTAGAATTAACAGTGTTTTCCATCCTTACTAGTCCATTATGAATATTTTAATTACAAAAATAGCTAAATAATTATCCAAGAATATTGTACAGGTGGCAATCTCTATTAATTATTATCAAGACAAAATTTATAGTCCTAAGAAATATAAAAAATTTTATCCGATGTATAATTTAATATTGACTTTTAAAGATCTGCAGATAACTTTAGGTGTTAAGAGAAAACAACTTTTTTCATAGAGATTTGAAGCCAGAAAATATTTTAATTTAAAAGGATTCCATATCAGGTAGAAATCATTATAAAATATGTGATTTTGGAGAAATTAAAGAAATCTAAATTATTGATTCTGCAGATTAATAATAAAAAATTTTCACTTAAACTATAAATGTTGGAACACCATATTATTAAGCCCCAGAAGTAATATAATCATCAAAATATGATTCTTCAGCTGATATCTGGTCTTTAGGAGCCTTAATTTATGAGCTTTATACTTGTTAACCTTTATTTAATGGAAACACTTTAGAAGATATATAGTAACAAATAGTATCTGTTAAATAAGATGAAAGCTTTATCCATTCAAAGATAGATTAAATTCAATGTGAAAACAAATTTAAGGCCTTGTTAAAATAAATGCTAAGCTACAATGCATCTAAAAGACCTTCAATATAACAAATATAAAATATATATAAGATAGAATAAGCAATAGATTTTTAAAAAATTATGGAGTAGTCAAAATGTAAAATCTAATCAGAAAAATAATTTATTTAATAACAAAATTTAAACAAAGAATAAGATGAATCTTAAAAATTTATTTAGAATAATTTTCCATCTGATTTTTCATTCTAAGATATTACAGAAGTCAAGCAAAATTAGAATTCGCAACAAAATAACATATAAAATACCTAGTTAAATTAGTAGTTTATTCGTGTAGAATAAAGTTAAGGAAATTAATTATTATTAAATAATAGCTAAATTGCAGATATCAAATAGAAACCTTAAGACTGCTAAAAATTTTAACAATTTTAAGGTATCAACTAAATTTAAACACCATAACAAATTCATCCAAACTTTCCTCAAATGAATTAATAATTCATAGCAAATAATCCTCCTGCAGAAAAGAATACTGGTATTTAAAAAAATGATAATGAAATTAAGATGTAGCAAAACAACTTCAATTAATTATAATAAAATAAATAAGAAATACTTAAATAAGGTAACACTTATTTTTTAATTAAGGTTAATTCCAGCATAATTTTAATTAAATTAATTAGAGGCCCAATTAAAATGCGTTTTAATTGCCATAAAATTTTATCTTCCCTTAATTTGATAAGACAGCTGCTAACTCTTAATAAAATTAAAATTTACCTAAACAGGGACAAAAATTTATGTGGAATAATTATTAATAAGATATTTAAAATAACTAATTTAATAAGGGTTAATAATATTATCAATTTAATTAAGCAGCTGCTTTAAAGTGGTAGGGTTAGAATTTAGATATGAAAATTGAAAATAAAGGATATGTAAATGTGTAATAATAGCAATAATAATAATAAAATTAATAACAAAATTAATAATAAACTTAATAACAATATTAGTTTCAACAATATTAATTGTTTTAATACCAATAATAACAATAACAATAAAAATAACTCTAATAATAATAGCAATAATAATAATAATAATAATAATAATAATAGCAATAATAACAATAATAATAGTAATAATAATAGTAATAATAATAATAATAGTAATAATAATAGTAATAATAATAGTAATAATAATAATAATAATAATAATAATAATAATAATAATAATAACAGTAATAATAATAATAATAGCAATAATAGCAATAATAATAATAACTATAATAACAACAATAATAACAATAGCAATAATAATAATAATAACAATATTAATAGCAATAATAATAATAATAATAAATAGATGATAAAAATTAATCTAAATAATTGAAAAATATAACACGAAGTTTATAGTAAAATCAATAAATTTTTGAATCAATTATAGAAATGTCTGCAGAAGTAGAATAATCTATAGAAATACAATCGAATAAAGTAAAAATTTAAATATTAAATTAGATAAATTAAATAAATTAGAGAATCAAATAAACATTTAATATTCCTGCAGAGATTATCTAAATCTAGAATGAAGAAGATTTAAAGAAACCAGAATATGCACAGAGAATTAGAGATTATTTAATTAAATAATATTAGTAGATTAAATAAATGAAAGATCCTAATCAATATGAAGTTAAACTTCCAAATTAAAAATTGAATACTGAGTACTATAATTATTGATATATATTTATTTAGAAATGATTAATTTTATACTTGTTTAAGTTTCGATTACTTCTATTTTCTGATTTAATAAACATTTTTAAATGTGAATTGAATTTTTTTTCTGCAATTTAATCATTTATTTATTCAAACTGTCATAATTATGGTCTTTTGGTGAATTTATTTAATGGAAAGAAAATTTTAGTATGAATGTTATTGTAATGAATTGATTTAATTACAAAAGAACAAGCATAATCATCTTTCAAGAAATAATTTCATAAAATATAAATTATAAGTGAAATATTCTTTTGGAAAGGAAAGGAAATTATCCTTTTGCAAAATATCTATTAATTAATGTAAATTTTATGGTTAGAAATATTTATTTCATTTAAAACAGATATTAATATTAGTTTAAGTACTAGTCATAATTTAAAATATGTATAATAAAACATTAAATATTGCAATATATTTTTAATTATCATTGTCTTAAAATATATGTTTGAATAACTTTTTAATTAATAATTTAATTAAAATGTATTATTAAGCATAGCCTCCAATGATGCCGCTTGCACATATGATGAACAACCCAGTTTAAATGCAATAGGCAACAAATATAAGAAAACCTGACTTTCCACCTGATGTAAGATAGCATGATTACAATTAGATGCAACCAATTTTTGTGATTCCTTAAATAGCGCACATTAAATCTTAGCCAAAACCAAAATGCAGACCTTATGACCCAATTTTAGGGTTAGGTAGAAAGGCTGAGTGGATGATTGATAAATTTGAAGATGAATATGAGCAAATGTAAAGAGAAGAAAAAGAGAAGGGTAATTTTATATTAATAACAAAATAGATATTGTAAAACCATCTAGATTACCTCCAAAGATATTAAAGAGATTAGAAAAGAAGCATCTTCACAATGAAGAATTAAAGAAGCTACTTTAATTATGGAATCCATTTGAAGATCCTAATATCACATCTGAACCTTATAAAACACTATTTGTGAGTAGATTGAATTATGCCACAACTGATAAAAAATTGCGTAAGGAATTTGAAGAATATGGACCAATCAAATCAATAAGAATCATACGTGATTCTACATAAGATAAGCCTAGAGGCTATGCATTCATTGGTAAGGGGGTGATCTTAAATTAAAAGAGTATGAGAGCAAGAACAGTGTTAAATAAGCTTATAAATATGCAGTAGATAAGCGTATTGATGGAAGAAAGTTAGTAGTTGACATCGAAAGAGGTAGAACAATACTGAAATGGAGACCCCGTAGACTTGGAGGTGGTCTAGGGGAATTGAGAAGATCAAGAAGTGAAGAAATATCTAAAAAACCTAAAGAAGAACATGTAGAAAAAGATGAGGAGGATAAAAGAAGGAAATCAAAGAAAGGTATTTAATTTTCTAATTATTTTTTTTAGAAGAAGTAAAACCATCCAAGAAACCTAGAGAGAGATCTCGATCAAAGTCTGTCAAAAAACATAAGAAGAGAGAAGAAAGTCCAATTAAAAAATAAAAAAGAAGAGAAAAATCAAAAAAAAGATATAAATGAGTTGATAATGAATTAAAACTTAATAAAAAGGTAAAATTTTTATAATGGTAAGTATTCTTGTTTGAAATAATCTTGGTTCTCTTATATTATACCAACTTTTAAATTCAATCTTTATAAATCTTAATCTCAATTAATTTATCAAATAATGTTTTGTCTATTATTATGTATAAAAGGTTTTATTATATTGAATAAATCATTAGAAAATAAGAATAATCTCAATTACAAAATTCACAACCTCCAGGAGGTGCTTAATTTTCTTTTTCATAAATTTATGACCAAGATTCTTATATTGAATAACCTATAGTGCATCCTATAATAACAGCAACATTAACCCATCCATTCATTGTCATAATTAATTACATAACCATAATACCTGAAAGTGCATAAATCAAATACCAACAGATGTCAACAATTACACTTATTTTAACATTATATTTTTACTTTTTTGGTAATATTAATTTAAAAGTGTAGAGATTCATATGAAGCATACAATAAAACATTACAATAAGACATCCAAAGAAGAACAATCCTGTTTCATCAGCAGTTGTAGACCATCTTATGTTAATCATTTTTAATACCCCTTAAATACAAATTCACAGTTAACTCTAAAGTGAACAACCATACCATTATTGATAGCCATTTTTATATATTATATTAATTAAAAAATTATGAATTTTACATTGAACTCTTCATTAGAATTACTATTCTCTTAATCTTATATTATATAAATTTAATTTAGATTCAAATAATAGATATATCCATAATAACGTTTATTTAGGGATCTACTTTTATTTAAATGCTAAATAATAAGATGAATTGATAGTCAAATCTAACGATGATAAACATATATGGATACTTTTATTTCGCAATTTAAAACTAAGGATAAAGTTTGATAGATACTGTTTTAATTATTTCAGATAAATATAATATTTTATTTTTTCATTAGATATAAATAAATATTCCTTTAATAAAATCATGATTCTTCAAAACCTTCTTCAAACTTACTAGGAGTTGCTAATGACTCTCTTTTTGGTTTCAACTCTTCCTCCTATCCTTCTGTTTATTTTTTTATCCATTCCCATGTTTTTACAAAGCGTTCAGGAGGTTTAGGATCCTAATTTAATTTTCTTATAGCTTTTTCTCTTCTCAATTTGCCTCCATATTTAATAAATTCTTAAGACCAATGTTTTATTGCTTATTGTACTTCAACCACACTAACAGGATCCTTCCACCAAGATATTACTTTTGTGGCACCATTTTCTTAAACATAGCTTAGGAAATGGTAATAATTGATAAGCATTTTTAATAGATCTTCTTAAAAATCAATTTTATGATCAATTAAGTCTTAGACTTGCTTTTATATTTACATTTTAAGAAAGTTTGATTATTCAGAAAAATCCTTAACCATGAATGAAATTGATATGGAGAGTATTTGTAAGATAACTTCATCACATGTTTATAAGTTTGGATTCTCTAGAGAGAAATTATGTCTTAAACTAAGTTTGTAATTAGTTTCTTAATTAATAAGAGTTTCAATTTCTATTTGAGGGTCGATAGTTATTTCTTCTTGAATAACAGGGGATGGAAGGACTTTAATGCTTTGATTTGGGCAGAATCCTCCCATTTATTTATTTATTTTTTTATTATAAGATGAATTAAAACCATCAAATTCTTCGAAATTTATATAGATATTAAAGTTCCAAGTAATACTATAATGTTTAATTTGAATATTAAACATATAAAGAAGTTATATTTACATTCCATTTTTTTTAATTTAGTAGTTTTAACCTCATTAATATTTTAAATTTTTTGTTTTTAGTTGTTTTAATAAATGTGTTATACTAGAAATAAATATATTAATATATATATAAGTATGAATAATAGTTTATTTGAATGATTAAAATAATATCATTTAGTAATTTATCAAAGAAGATACTAAAACATTATTAATTTTAATATAGAATAAGAATTTGCTTAGTTTCACTGATGATTTACATTATTTTGTATATAGTTATAATAACATTTTTTATGGTATAATCTAATATTTATCAATTGATAAATTGAGGATCATATAGAGGATGTTAGAGTTTAAGTTTTGATTAATTTATAATGTATGAAAGTCAAATAAATCTTAATAATATTTTGTATAAATCACAAAACAGAAATTCAATAATTTAATTCCTAATAATTACTTGATTATCTTCATGTCTCATAATGGAGATGAAGTTGAATAAGTGATAAAAACTAATAGTCATGAGCCTCCTCAAACACGATCAATTAGTAAAAAAGAAAGAGGTGATGTGTAGAGAGTTGTTTCAAAAATCAACAACCAAAATAGAATTGTCAAAAAGAGAATGAAACGAAAGCGACTTTATTCTAAGGCAAAAAGGCCAGGAATACATAGAAGAATCCGTATTCCTGCATCTGAATCCTTTACTTCAAGTGAAGATAGATTAATTCTTTCTTCTGTATTAAAATTAGGTCCTAAATTCAAAGTTATTTCAACTTACTTTCCATAAAAATCACTCAGTACTGTAAAGAATAGATACTATAAATTTCTCAGATATCGATGGACATAAATAATGGGAAAGTAAAGATTTCATTTAATATTTTAGAGATTACGATACATTATACAAAGAAAGTCTATTATCAAGCACATAAGGAGAAGAAATAATAGAGACAGTTTAATTATTTCCAGAAGTAAAAGATATTTTAAAGAATATGATTTCAAATATAAAATCTTTAATATTATAATGAATCTTGTCATTTTCACATAATTATATAAATTACGTGACAAATGTTTTTATAAAAATAGTTTAAATTGTAAATCTCTTTTAAATTAAAATCTTAGTGTATTTCCTCCAAAATGTGATCAATTTGTTGAATAAATAATAAAAACTGTTTCTAAGAGTGAAAAAATAATATAAAGAAAGTTACTATTAAATTAATTTGTTATCAAAAGCTTAAAAATAAATATTATAAAAAAAGTATTAGGATAGGTTTAGATAATCTAATTAGATTTTTTGTATATAAAAAGTCTAAGTGAAAATAAATTAAGGTTAAATTGAAACAACAATAAAGTGAAGAACTTTTATAATTTTCAATTAGATATACAATTATGATCACTACTTCATTTATAGTTGATTTAAATATTTTGATTTGAATATAATACTCTTTATTAAATTATCATCATATTCTCTTTTTATGGAGGTAGTTCTTTAAATTAAAGAAGTATGGATTATGATTATATCAAAAAAAATGAAAATTGGAATCAATTTAAAATAATAATATATTATCTTTATCATTTTAGTAATTATAATAAGAATTCTATATTTAGATTATTATACAAAAATTAAATAATTTATAGAAATAAAGAGTAAATATCATTATTTTTATAGTAATAAAGTTTAAAGAATTCTCTAATAATAATCTAAGAATTTCAAGATAGATTAAATATATTAAAATTAATTTACTTATGTAATTAAATAATATTTGGCATTAAATTAAATATATTAGAAGAAAATTTAAATTATATTATATATATGTTGTGAATTGCAAACAGTTTTATATTAAGGATAGATCTCTTAATATAATTATGAATCCCATTTTAGGATTATTTCTTATTGAATAAATTTAATGATGGAATAGTTGAGAATTTAATTTTAATTAGAATATAAATTTATGTTATTTTTTCTAATTTGCTTAGCAAATGCTGTAGATTTAAGATTCAAATTACCAGCACGATAAATAAGATGTTTTGGTGATAGACTATAAGAAAAAGAGATGATTCAAGGATTTGTAGAAGGAGAGTCAGCTGATTATAGTCTAAAAATTACTGATACAGGTGTGAATAAGTAGTTGTTGTACACGTATCATGAATTAACACAAAAGTTTACACAACTTTTTAATGAGACAACATAGATTCAAATTTGTATACATAATCTGGCTCACTATTAAATGAACATTTAGTTTTTCTATGAGTAAGGTATACAAGCAGAATTAGCATCATTGGAAGATTTGAAGGAAGTAGAAAAATAAGTGAAGTAATATAATAATACTTTGCAACATTTAAAGGTATATATTTGATATTGATAAATAGTCTGCTCAATTAGATTTGGTATAATTGTAAACAAATAGGAATGATAAGATGAATGTAATTTCTAGCAAAATAATATTTTTTTCAATAATAACTATTTTATTGATGATTATTGTAACCATAATTTTTACAATAAAAGCAGCAAAAATAATGAAAATGAAGAAATCTTATTGATCATGTTAAATAATCACTTTTTATTACATTTTTATAATATATATAAATATTAAAATTTATATTCACTCAAATAATATTAATAATTATCAACATAATTATAATATTTAGAAATTAAGCATAACCTGTACAAGATGTACAACCATCATTTATCCACATATATCCTCCATTTGTATTCTCAAAACACTATTGTTATGGTAAATCATCTGAACTTTATAAACTTTAACACTTATCTTCTGTCCATATGCAAACTGAAATTTAAGAGTAGTCATAATTTGGAATATATTTACAAGTTTCTTAAATAGTGAAACTGGTACAATCTCTTGTTTTACATATTCCATTTTCCCAAATACATGCATAAATATCACACATTTCTTACCAATCTTTAGCATTTTCACAACTATTAATATTCATAATGGCTAAACATTAATTATTTGATTATTTCCATCCACACTTTACATTATTTGATTATTAAGAGTTATTACATATAGTTTTTGATGTTAATATTCCACATTCTACATTCACTTTATCTTTACATTAATATAAACCATTATTTGGTGTAGATGATGATTCACATTAATTAGAACCTTTTGTATAACATAAATTAGGTTCTGATACAGAAAAGTCTGAACAACTTTTAAATTATATACATTTTTCTGAAGATGCCCAACCACAATCATTTCTTTAATCACAACTCTTTTAAGTGCTATAATCACTACAACTTAAAATATAATCTATGCATTTTTCATCTTACCATTAACAATCTCCATAACATTTATCTTATTTTTTATTTTAACATGTATCATCCAAACATTGTCCATCCCAATAACAATTTATTAATTCACATTATTTTTATTCTTAAATATCAGAGCATAAACATTTTTATTGGGTTTGAATTACAATTTATCCCATTATTTGAATTGTTAAGATACATAAAATCACGTTAATTTACTTCATTAAAGTTATTAATAGATTTTATAATCATGAAAATATAAATTAAATTAGATCTTTATGTTTTTTTTATGTATTTTATATATTAATTTCTTTAAATTTAAAATATAATTATATAATAATAAATATAATATTCATAATGTTTTAAGGATACTAATTGATTATTAATCTAATAGATCTATTGGTATATTACTTAAAGATAATCTCATTAATTATATTTATTATTATTTCATTTTTATACAATATATAAAAGAAAAACCTGCTATTATGATTTCTATAAATAAGGCACTAGTAAAATAAGCTTAAACTTCATTATCATTTTGATTAATAACATCATAAGTTTTTACAAGCATTTCTTCTTAGAATTTTAAGAATGCTTTTTTTGTATTTAGAAAATGTCTTGAAAATAATACAATAAATTCATGTGAATTTACAACACTTATTTAAGTTTTTATATTTGGATCTTATTTTAAATTTTCTAATTCATAATTAAAAGTACTTTTAATATATTTACTTAAACTTGAATATATTCCAGAAATACCTTCACTAACAAAATATTTATTTTAATCTCTTTAATCATTTGAATTTGGACAAACTATTTAACATATATCATTAAAGAACAATTAATATAAAGTTGAATTATTTTATCTAGTAACAGAATTATCATTAACTAAACCTTTAAGTATTAATTCTTCTGATTTTACAAAATCTTAATATAAAATAGAATAAAATGTTAAATTAGTAGTTCTAATACTTACAAGTTTTTAATCAACTAAACTTTTTTAAACTGTTATTGATTCATTAATTTTATTATTTAACATATAGAGTCTTTAACATTTTACTCTAACAGATTATGTAATCATAGAATCCATAGTAACTGAAAATTAAAAGAATTCTGACATCAATTCATATTAAGGAGTTAATTCTGTTTACTATATTTTATTAAAATAATATCCTCCTATACAAAAACTAATTATGAGTAATTAGACAGATATAATCATACTTAAAATAGAGAATAGAGAAAATTTACTTTAAGCAATTCTTGAACATAGAAGAGTATGTTTACTGATTTTTGATTATATTTGTATTTGATCAGATTTTATTTATTGAAACATTAAATGTACATAATCTGCCTTTTTCCAATTTGTAATTGTATGTTCAATTAAAATCTCTCTTATTAATTACAACCTTTAAACTATTAGATGAACATCCTTTTCTAAAATTCTACAATTTAAGTATATAATCTTCTTAAAATAATTAAAGATTTAATGAAAATATATAATCTATATACAAAATAAAAAGATTATAATGAAAAGTGCAATTAAGAGAAATTTAAAGAAATTATTTTCATCATAAATCATATCTTCAAAAAAAGTTTGTACAATCAATTAAATTAAATTTGAATATAAGGATATACTTTCTTATAAATTAGCATACAAATATAAAGATGAAATAATCTCTGATTCATTCATTTAATATTAAGTAAAGTTTTATCCTTTTTATGTAAAATATTATAATTTCTCAATTAAAACACTATACATATATGTGAATGATACATTCAATTAATCTGCAGTATTTATGAATTTAATATTTAAAGTAGGAAAATAGTCTAGTTTCTCTATTTCTAAAAAGACAGGATAATATTTGTTTAGATCTTGAAGTAGTGTATTATTTTTATTGATTGTTTCTATGTCATGTATTAATTCTTGACTATAATTCACAATTTAGAGTTTTTGCAATTCAAATATCATATTATGTACATATAATTAACAATAATAAGAATTATATAGATATGGAGCCATTATAGCATCAATCTATTAAATAGCATGAATATTGTTATTATGAATTGTAATTATTGGATATATATTAAAGACTAATATTGAAGATATAATCATTAGATCAAAGATTATAATCATTTTAAGTGAATAAGGAATTTTGTTGGATTTATATACACTTTTAACAAGATCTTATTTGTAATTAATTAAGTTAGAAGCTATAGAATTAACAGAATTAACAGCATCCATTTCATTAATATCTTATTTACGTTTTTCTTAGATTTAATCTATTATATTTTTTCTTTTGGTTATTTTTTCTGAACTTTTATGTTCCTCCTTTTATTACTCATTGATCATAAATTACTTCTAACTATATCTTTTATTAGATTTGATAATTTTCATTTCTTCTTCTATACTCTTTAAATCTTCATTTAAACTCTTTTATTTGATCACTTAAAATACAGCTTTTTAGAATTATGGTTTAATGTATTATTTTTATTTATTGTTAATATTAGTCTATTCATTTTAATACTATCCAAATCTACCTTCAATAAATAATATTTCAGGATTTTATTATAAAGGATGATCAAATTATTACAAATCATTTTATTTAACTTTCTGAAAACTTTCCTCTTAAATTGAACTTAAGTCAACTGGATCTGGTTCAAATACATCATTAGTTTTTATTTCAATATCTGATGAATACTCTAGACTTGATTATAAATCTGCTTTGAATATATCCAATATTTCTAAAGTAAACATTGGCATAGTTTTATAATGTCCAATCATCTAATAATAAAGTTAACATATAATTTCAAAATTAATAGTTTTCAATTAATTATTTATGGATTGTTTACAAGACTCTTAATATTCTGGAAGAAACATCTCAGTTTTATGATTTTTAGTATCTTCATAAAGAGTCCATAGATTATCATAATATCCTTTATGTCTAGATAAATTTATTGGTTTATCAAATTACTATTTAATTGGATTACCAATCATTAATAATATTCTTTCTTCATAAGGAATATTATCAAATTCAGTATTAGTATGATTATTAACTAAATAGAAAATATTGGGAATTATTTAAAATATATATCCAGTATTCAATAGTTCTGGTGTAATGGTTGAATCTATGGAATGAAATACCTTATATAATAATTAAGTAACTCCTAGTATTTTACCTTTACAATCAAATAGTATATATAAAGATGTTTCTTTATTTTTAGCAAATGCAGCAGTAATGACATAATCATCATAGGTGATAAAGAAATTATCAATAGTGATGCTGGCTGGAATGAGTAGATCATATTTATCTTTGAGAAAGATAGTTCTACATTTTCCAAAAAGAATGCTATGACCTATAATTTAAAATCTTTCTATATATTAATCATGGACAGATGCACAAAAATTGGGCATTAATTGATTAATATGTTTAATATCATAGAAATCTAATTCATTTTCATATCCCCAAAACTTTGCCAATTAACCACTATTAGTCTTAATAATATAACCTTATGCTTTAACAATACTAGTGTACAATAAAACAACTTTATTTTCCAAGATACTACAATTTAAGAGTTTACCATCTTGTTGTGTTTCTGATCTAAGCATTTCAATAATTAGTTTTTACATTTTTGTAGCTTAAACTTAATCATTTCTAACAATACAAAAATAAATTTCTAACATTTTTAATTCTATAACAGTTTTAACATTTTAAATTTCATCTAAATCTTAAGAGTATAGATTTTATAAAAAGATATTAAAATCATTCATAATTTGACTACATTTGATTGTATGTTCAAATAGTCTTTCATAATTAGAAAGATCTGATAATAATTTATTCCAAAATTCAAGTTTTTTATTTAAAACTTCTATTATTTTTGGATAAAATTAATCTTTCATTAAACATGCAACATATATATCTTTAGTTTTTAGATCTTTTTCATCATAATATTGAGTAGATCGTATTTATTTAGTAATTCTATTTTATACATCTCTTACTCTTTTCCATAATTTCTTATCTATGTTTGGAAAACATATTTAAAAATAGATAGTATGATCATCTATAGCATTATAATATTATTTTAATCTACAAAATGCTGTTAATGCAGCTTTTTATAAAGATAAGAAATTAATCAAAGCTAATTCTAAAATTTCATAATCTAATTTGATTTATTTATTTTTAATAATTGAATTTTCTAGTATACAAATAATAGTTTCAATAACATTATTATCATGTTTAAATTTACAATTTTATTTATGTTAATTAATTAATATTGTCTTTTAAAAATTTGATGACATATATAATTATTAACATTAAACCAAAACAAAATACTAATCAAATGTTTATTTTCTAGAACACTTTTCTATAATTATTTAAGACAATGCAATAGAAAATGTACCATATAAAAAATATGAATAAAATAAATTATTCTCTGATTATTAAATAATTGATATTGTTGTTATTAAAATTAGAGTATATTATAGTATTGAACTTTGAAATACAAATGAATTAAGCATAGGTTTATAAGGATGAAATGTATAAACATCAACTATTTAAATAATTGTTGAAAAATGAAGTAATATCAATCTAATCAAATAAAATTAAAAATTCATATAACAAAGAGTATCAATAGCTATAGAAACAAGAGTAAGATTAGTATATTTTCTTATAAATGGATTGTTATGTAAGAATTTAGTTGCTCTATTAAAGTATAAATTTATAAAAGATTAAAGTAGCAATAAAAATATAGCTATAATTGAAAGTGTTGGATCAGATTCAAAATCTATAAGAATTGAAACTTAAGGCATAAAAAAGATATGCCAAGTTACATTATTATAATAGTACATCAATTTTATTCGCATAAAACTCATCAGCAAACAACAACCATTCAATATTATTAGTATTATTTTGAGTATTAATGCATTCTATTAAAATATAGTTGATAAAATCTATTAAGGTATTTTAATCTTAAAATCTTCATATTTCCATATTCCCCATCCATCTTCAGGTAATAAATAATGAAGACGAAACATAAATTAAAATATTATGGTGGCTCTAAATAAATTCTCTGTCAATTCTACTTTTGGTGCTGTTGTCATTAAATCTAAATATAGACCCATCAAATATTATATTTTCTACACAAACTTTTCTATCAATGATCCCCTAATATTTAATATACTATACTTACTCATTTTCTTATTTTTCTTAATTATTATAATTATAATGATTCGTTGTTTTAATCATGGTAAGATGTCAACCATGGTATGCACTACTAAAGGATGTCAACATAAAACCTTATGTTCAGATTGTATAGTCACTCATCCTAAAAATCATTTGGCTGCAATCCTACCATTAAGAGATTTCGATCCTTCTAGTTATTCAGTACCAAAAACTATAGCCAGTATAGATATTCATTCTAATAATAGAGGATTTAAGCATTGTTAGATAAAGAATGTCAATGTTATAGAATCATTTGATATAAACTAGAGAAATTCGAAAATCTGAATGTAAAAGATTATAAAAACATATTGTCAATTACTTTACAGATGAATTAGATTGTATATTTAAACATTTATTAAATAGCTTTTATTAAAACTGTTATTCTTTAAATTGAATAATTTTACAATGAAAAACATACAAAAATTGCAGAAGTTACTTAAAATTGTGAAGAACATATTAATAAATTGAATTCAATTATAAATGGAGAAGTAGATGATTCTAGGAAATTTGATTTCTTATTAGATTTATAAGAAAAATTATTACAAGTTATTGTACCTACACTAACAAAATAAGCAGAAGACTTAAGCAGATCAAGTATAAGTAGTGATATTTTAATAAATTAAAATTTTGAAAAAGCTATATCAGTTGTAATAGAAAAGGCCTTTGTTGTCAGTAACATATTAAATACTGAAAAGAAACCTGTTGTAATGGATGAACCTGAATATGATTCTTTGACTATTTTTAAAGTCAATCTTAAAAATTAATAAAAGAATTTAGACTTTTATAAGTCTGCCATTCAACCATATTTACATACTGATTTACTTGGAAAAGAATATAAAGTTCCTTAAAGTTCAGATTTTATACCAAAGTATTACATTAGATTTAATAAAGAACAGTTCCAAAAGATACACCTTAATTGAATGGATTACCCTTTGAAATATTTATTAGTTAATAGAAACATTTGAATACTGTTGTTTAAGGTCATTTAGACATAGTTACTGCTGTATGTGTTTTAAATTTAAATTAAATTGCATCAGCTGGTGGTGAGGGTATACTGAAATTTTGGGATATAGATTCATAAATATGTTTAGGAACAATTGAAGCTCATAAAGGAGAAATTTGGTGTTTATGTGCAATAACAGATGATTTTAATTAAGATATAGCTGAGAAATTGGTATCAGGAGGTAATGATAGATTGATACATATATGGAATGTTTAATATATGACATTAGAATTTACATTGGTTGGTCATTTAGATATTGTGAAAAGTTTATGTTATCTAAGAAAGTTTTAATATATTTGTTCTGGAGGTGGAGATTATAGAATTAAGATATGGAATAGAGATAAATGTTTTTATACAATAGAAGATGCTCATAAAAAGATAGTTAGAACAATTATTTAATTAGATGATGATAATTTTGCATCTGGAGGTGATTGTTTCATTAAAATATGGAGTGCATTTAAAGGATAATTAAAATATGAATTAGCTCATGGTGATGATGTTTATTGTTTAAAAGAATTACCAAATTAAATGTTGGCTAGTGGAGGAGCAGATAGAATAATTATTATTTGGAATTTAAGGGGAGGTTTTAAGGCTCATAAATTATAAGCTCATAATGAAACAATTACTTGTTTAGGATTTCATAAATATTTATTTAGTGCAGGATTAGACAAGACTTTAAGAGTATGGGAAATAAAGGATTAAGCTACACTTGTAAAAAGTATTAAAGTCCATACTGAATAAATTAGTTGCATAGCTGTTAATCAATATAGAGAATTAATAATAACTGGTAGTTGGGATAAAAGAGTAAGAATAGTATCTTTAGAATATGTTATTTAGAGAAAATGATTATATAGATTAATTAATTATTAAATTCATCTAATATATTTAAATAATAATTTTAATATATTTAATTTCATAATACTTATTAAGTTATTTTTTAATTTAATTATATACAATTTCATAGATATTTAATAATTAATATAAGAGTAAATGATAGTATTAAAGATAAATCATATTTATAATGATGATATTATTTAGAAGAAATAGATTTATTATAATAATTTATAATGATATTCAATCCTTAAAGCAAAATAAAAATATTCTTGTCTATATTTGCATATATCCATAAAGGATATCGTTTAATGATAGCTTATAATTACTATTTAAAGTTTGAAATAAAAGATGTAATTATATCATTAAATATAAAGTCATTATTCCCTAAAAATATATAATGCTTATAATTAATTAAAAAGTAACAATTTCGCCGTCAATATCTTTTATTTGTATTATTATATATGTCATATATATGATTGTAATTATAATTGTAGCCACATATTAGATAATTTCAAAATCTATTAGGTTTAATTATAACTTATTACTTCTTTGAAACAAATAATTTGTAAAACAAAGATAGATACTATTTATTAAATATGCTAGTAATAGATCACTTATTGCCAAGTAAAAATAAAGGGATTTTACTTCAGAATTTTAATCAAAAGATAAAAAAATGCCATAGAAGCCACAGGTAAATAGTGTGAATGATGCGAAAAATAGCAAAATAATTAAAACTAAATTGAAAAATAAAAATTTACTTGATAATTTCTTAAATATTGTACTTTTATGAAAACATCTAAATAAGATTATCATCAATGGATAAAAAAACAAACTAACTATAACCAAAGTCTAACCTAACAGGTAATAATTATAATTATAATAGTAATAATTTGGACTAGGATCTGGATAATATGATAATTTACAGAAAAATGAATTCTTATCAACATAATAGTAAAAAATGATGCTATTAAGTAGAGTTTGAAAAATATTTATGATCGTAATAATTATCATAAATACTTTCATTTTCTTTTATTTATCTGAATCTTAATCTTAATATTTTTATTCTTTGATATTTTGCACTTCTATATCATTTGTATCATCTTCCTGATCCATTTAATAATTCATAATTAATAATTTATTATAATATATAGATAAGAATTAAATCTAATTTTTGTTTATTAAATTTGGATAGAATTAAATAATAGACTAGTTTGATTTAATGAATCACTACTTACAAGCATTATTTGAATTTTATTTTTTATTTTAATTGATAAACATAATTTTAAGATCAAGAAACAACTATAGTTGAATTTATGGATCTAATTGAATTATTGATTTATTTTATATATATATATTAAATGGAAATGTCTCTCTAATTAATCTTGATTCTATTTATTGAAGGTTATGATTTTGATAAAATTTGGTTGATAATAATCATTAATAACAATATAATAGCAGAGTGTTTGATTTAAGAGATTCCTTATATATAGTAAGTCTTAATCAATTAGAATAATATTAATGAAATCTAAATCGTATAATAATTTTACCTTCAAAATATTTGACAATTTATTTATAGCATCTGAAATATCTGAATAAGAATCTTAGAACAATTAAGTGGAATTTAAGGATATCTAATAGCTTATATTTTAAATTTAAGATTCCAAATTAAATCATGATTAATTACAGATTTCAAGAATTCAAGATTTTAACTTATTAAAAAATTTGTATTCTATTTTTATTTACAAATCCATGTTTTTCCCTTTAATTTTTTTCGCATGAACTTAAGAAACCTAGAAGTTATCTTGATATCATCACTTAATATTTTAAGAAATCATTAACTATTTAAATGTAAAAATATGTAAACCCTCCTCTTTTAAAGAAAAATAATACGTCTTGATTATTTATTATGATTTTTTCTGTTACTAAAATTTTATAAGAAAAATAGTTTTATTCTTATATTTTGATTATAATTCTTATTTGGATATTTGTGAGTTTTTTTATATTCATTTAATTATTCAATATTTTGACATTATTTATTACTATATGCTATTCTTTTTTTATTCTTATTATGTGAATCTTATTTATTTTGAATTATAAAAAATATTAAATTATTTTTCTAAATTTTCTTTAATTCCCTTGCTTAGAATAATTTAAATTTAATTGAATCAAATTTTTCCATTATTGCAGTAATGTATTTTTTCTAACATAGAAACAAAGTGTTGACAAATCATTTCTTTATAAGAGAATTCTTGCATACACAATTAAATTGTGAGTAAATATATTCAAAAGATTTCAAACTCTAATTAAATTTTTATATCTGCAATCGAACAGCTTTTTATAAAATTTATTATGTATATAGTGATTTCTAGTATTTTATTAGAGTCATTAATACTTTATTCTAATAGAAAATTATTTTATTTAGTAGTTATGAAATGAAAATGATATATAAATAGTTTTTTACATTAAGTAATTTAGAAATTCTCAAAATAATTTTCATTAGACTATGTTTCTACTTAGGTCAATAAACTTATTTATCATTAAATTCTTTGAAAAAAGTTTCCTATTAATATTATGAAAAACGCATATATAACAATAGTGATTGTAAGTTTGCTCACTTTAGGAAGTTCAAGTAAATGCTATAAAATATTTAGAGCTAACACTCCGGCAAGCAGTCGATCTGGATATACAAAATTTGAGATGTCGAGATCTAGATGATATAAATATTATGATCTCTGATACAATATAATGGAAAGATGCAATAGAATTAAATAATTAATTAGGAGATGATCTTAATGGATTATTGGAAGTAGAAAAAATTGTTAAAAATACAAAACAATAGTTATTGCATTAATAATAATCATTAATTGAAATTGAGATGCCTGATAAACAAGACTTTTAAGCTAAATTTGAGACAGATCTTGCTAAAATCATGAAGTTAATGTNATTCTATTTTTATTTACAAATCCATGTTTTTCCCTTTAATTTTTTTCGCATGAACTTAAGAAACCTAGAAGTTATCTTGATATCATCACTTAATATTTTAAGAAATCATTAACTATTTAAATGTAAAAATATGTAAACCCTCCTCTTTTAAAGAAAAATAATACGTCTTGATTATTTATTATGATTTTTTCTGTTACTAAAATTTTATAAGAAAAATAGTTTTATTCTTATATTTTGATTATAATTCTTATTTGGATATTTGTGAGTTTTTTTATATTCATTTAATTATTCAATATTTTGACATTATTTATTACTATATGCTATTCTTTTTTTATTCTTATTATGTGAATCTTATTTATTTTGAATTATAAAAAATATTAAATTATTTTTCTAAATTTTCTTTAATTCCCTTGCTTAGAATAATTTAAATTTAATTGAATCAAATTTTTCCATTATTGCAGTAATGTATTTTTTCTAACATAGAAACAAAGTGTTGACAAATCATTTCTTTATAAGAGAATTCTTGCATACACAATTAAATTGTGAGTAAATATATTCAAAAGATTTCAAACTCTAATTAAATTTTTATATCTGCAATCGAACAGCTTTTTATAAAATTTATTATGTATATAGTGATTTCTAGTATTTTATTAGAGTCATTAATACTTTATTCTAATAGAAAATTATTTTATTTAGTAGTTATGAAATGAAAATGATATATAAATAGTTTTTTACATTAAGTAATTTAGAAATTCTCAAAATAATTTTCATTAGACTATGTTTCTACTTAGGTCAATAAACTTATTTATCATTAAATTCTTTGAAAAAAGTTTCCTATTAATATTATGAAAAACGCATATATAACAATAGTGATTGTAAGTTTGCTCACTTTAGGAAGTTCAAGTAAATGCTATAAAATATTTAGAGCTAACACTCCGGCAAGCAGTCGATCTGGATATACAAAATTTGAGATGTCGAGATCTAGATGATATAAATATTATGATCTCTGATACAATATAATGGAAAGATGCAATAGAATTAAATAATTAATTAGGAGATGATCTTAATGGATTATTGGAAGTAGAAAAAATTGTTAAAAATACAAAACAATAGTTATTGCATTAATAATAATCATTAATTGAAATTGAGATGCCTGATAAACAAGACTTTTAAGCTAAATTTGAGACAGATCTTGCTAAAATCATGAAGTTAATGTAATAAATGAATTAAAAGCAATCAAAAAAATAGAAATTAGATCTATTAACTGAAATTGATGTTAGTATTTAAGCAACAAAATAAAAAATGTAATCAATATTATCTCAATCATCAAAAGCTACTGATTATGATATAGAATAGTTGACTTCAAATTTAAAATAATTATTATACATTAAATAATAATGTTAAAATTAATAATAGTAATAAAGTTAATATATAATTGGAAGAAATAATAAACATTATAAGCCATACAGTTATGATGAATATGATTTTGATGAATATGATGATGCTATCTAATAAGTTTTATATGATAGTGATTATGATTATGATTACAACAATTATTATGATTATGATGATTATGATTAATATTATGACAGATAATATAGAAATAGATAAAAACAATAATAAAATTAAAAAACAAGAAAAGATTCCAAATAATCAAAATAATCCAAAATAAAAAAATAAATTAAAAAAAAGAAAAATTAAGATTTTTATTAGCCAGAAATCTAATAATAATATGCAAATGAAGAATAATTTTATAATTAAGATTTAAAAACAAAAGAATAGTAATACTAAGATCCTCCTTTTTATGATAATGAAGAAGATGATAATATTTAGTCTCATATTCTATAATAAGAAGAAGAGTAAAATTAAGACTCTGGTGATTATTATGTATCATCAGATTCAAAACCATATGATGCTCTTGATCCTTAGAATTAATATAATGTTATATAGGATTCACATATTTTAAATGATTAAGAAAATTATCATAATGATTAAATATAAAATGAGGGAGATTCTGATCATAGTTATTAATAAGATGACTATAATCAAGTTGAATTATAGGAAGATTAAGAATAATATAATTATTAACCTGATGAAGATTAAGAAGTAGAAGAAACAATTCAACCTGTCTAGAATTAAAAATAATAAAGGTTCATTAATCTAAATAAGGATGATTATGATTACCAAAAAGATGTTGATTATTAAATTGAATAGGAAAACAGATCAAAAAATATACCATTAAATTAAGAATTCTCAAATCTTGATGAATAGGAAGATATAAATTATTAAAAACAAGAAGATGAAAAAACAAATGAATCAACTACAGATTAAGTCAAATTAGATGATATTTAATAATAAGGTAACTCAGAAAATCAAAATATTGAAAAAACGGAAAATTCAGAACTATAAAAAGTTGAAACTTAAGAGAATCCAGAAATGAAATAATTAGAAAAATAGGAGAATTAAGAAATTAAATAAGTTGAATAAGTTAAATAAGTTGAATAAGAGAAATCATAATAATAGAATGAATAAGTCATCTAATAATAATAAAATAATAAATAATCAGATATTAACAATATCAAGGAGGATTAGAATAAATCTAAATCATAATTAAATCATATGTAAGAAGGTTAAATAGAAACTCATTAGGACTTTAAAGCAATACCAGATTCATTAAAGTAAACAACCTAAATTAAAGCTTAAGCAGAAGAGTTTAATTTAAAAGAATAAAAATTACTTCCAGAATAATAATAGTAATAATAATAATAAGAATAATAATAATCATAATAATAATAATAGACAGATGTTCAATAATAATAATAATAATAATAATAATAATAATAATAATAATAATAGTAAAATAATCAATAAACTTAAGATTAAAATGTTTAAGCAAAAGATCTGCCACTTACTTAATAGTAAACATAATAATCAACATAATAAAATTTACCAATTAATGATAATAATTAACCTTAGGTACCATAAATTTAAGGATCAGAATAAAATACTCAACAAGAATCAACATAAGATGATTAATAATAAGGAGATTAAGGTTTAAAAGTCAATCCTTTAGAAACAGAATAAAAATCAACACAAAAAGAAGTAATATAAGAAGAACCTTAAAAATCTTCTGATTAAATTAAACCATAATAGAAGCCGTCTTTATAAGAATAAATAGAATAATAATAATAATAATAATAATAATAATAATAATAATAATAATAATAACAACAATAATAGTAATAATAATAATAATAACAATAATAACCTTTATAATAGTAATAATAACCTTTATAATAGCAATAATAACCTGAATAATTGTAATAATAGCCTCAATAATAATAACCTTAACCTTTAGAATAATAAGAATAATAGTAACCTTAAAATTAATAATAAACAGATCAATAAAATATATTACCTAACCCATTATAAACTTCAGAATAATAAGAGGATAATTAATAAATTAATGTACCTGATCCCAAAAATGAACCTTAAATTTAATAATAAGACCCTTCCTCATCATCACCAGTTGGTATTGACACAAATCAACTTCAGCCTCAAAATGTAAGTGAATAGAAACCATTATTGCCTACAGAACTAGTTCCAGATAATTCGGCTAAAATCCCAACTAAAGGTCTTGAAGAAAATCCTGATTAATTAATAGACCCAGCAAAGTTTGTCCCATTCAAACATAAACCTTTATAGAGCACGGCAAATATTTTAGTGAGATAATCAAAATTTTATGATTCAACCTCTGAAGGAAAAGCGTCTTATGAGATTTAATTTTCAAATAAAGAATTATAGGATTCAGAAGAGTATGGATATGGATTTTGGCTAAAATATTAGAGCACTCTTGAGTATAAGATGAAACAAAATGAATATCATTTTTTATCAAGATTAACTTCTATAAAGGATTTTTTGGATTTTTAAAATTATGGAGATAGAACTTTAGCCAATTTTTTGGTAGATAATACATTTGTATTTGCTACATATGATTATGTTGGTAGGGAGAAGAATAAGGTAGCTTAAATAAGTCTGAATTAGAATATTGATGGTAGATGGTATTTTGTATCCTTCTCGTATAGCAGTCGTAAATAGAAGTCAGTAGGATTTGTTTTATCTTATGGTAAGGGCAGGGAATTTTAGAGAATTGAGATACCATGCACTCATGCCCCTCCATTTTATATGTCAATGACTGTTGGGGGGAAGCATTTACATTACCCAGGATTGGAAGGTTAATTTGCAAATATCTTTTATGATGTAGAAGCACCTGCATTGATTGACAATGAATAAGAATTATTCAATTTAGTTGAGACAATGTCTTTTATGCCATAAGGATTGAAGACGTATCATGAGGAAGTTATAGTAGGACCACCAGTTGATATGGATGGAAATACCAATTGTAATTATGAGAAGGGATTTAAAGATTCTTTTATTTATGAACATTATGCAATAGCTGGTTGGTTTAGATGGATTGATAATTTGGATGTGAAAGAATTAAATTCATTTTAGATAATGAATTTGAGATCAAATAAATAAAGATTAAAAGATAGAAGAGAATTGGGAGATAGAGCTCTTGAAATTCATTTTATAAGAGGATTGTAGAATATAGGATTGAATTTTCATACATATTCAGTGACTGGAAATGAGGGTAAAGGTAGTGAGATGATAGTGAAATCAGTACCTTATACAACAAATGTATGGACATTTGTTTATTTTGGATTTAATTAAGAGGAGAAGAAAGCATATGGTATAATGATAAGAGTAGGAGTAAATGAAGAGGTTTTATTTGAAGGACTTGAGCATAAGAATACTAATTCATTATATTTTACTTTGGGGGGAGATCAGACAGTTGCTTCGTTTAATGGTAAAGTTTCTTAGGTTGGAGTATATTTGGGACCTGAAAGTTATGCAAAATCTAAGAAATTAGATTATAATTTTGGATATGGTGATGGAGCTGTAAGATTATTTTAGTTGGTTAAACCATTAATATTAAGAGGATAATAGGATTAATATGAAATATCATTTGATTAATAGGAGTCATTAATAAATTAGATTCTGATTTAAGATGATAGTAATATAAGAATAAATGGATTAAGTGAATATTCAATAGGTTTATGGACATGTTGGTTAAGTAGTCTACCAAAGTTTATAGGAAGTAGAAGTGATTTACATTAGATTGCTAGAATGGGAACTCAGAGTAAGTTATTAGAGTTGAAGGATAATAAGTTAATATAGAGTGTAAATGGATAAGTAAATAATGATATCAAAGATACTACATTATAAATGAGATTAGGAAAGAAAGAATATGAATTTTCCACTTATAATATAATAAGCAATGATATTAAAAAAGGTGTGATTGCTTTAGATTCTCAATTAGAAGGTTCTTGGAATTATTTATCCTTTTCTTATAAAAGAATGAATAATAATATGGGTTTAGCTAAAGGTTATGTTTAATTTGGTATTGGAGGATAAGTAAAGGAATGTTCAATTGAAGTGTTACATGATTATATTTTAGAATATGTTGAATTGAATGTAGGAAAATCAAATATTCCACAATTTAATGGTAAATTAGCAAATGTATAGATGAGATTAGGAAATGGAGCATTTTTAGTTGATATTGCATAATATGAATAATTTTAATAGTTGGAAAAACCAATTATAGGTATAAGTTCAGCTGTCCGTAAGAGTATCCAATTAATTGGTTAAGAGACTGAGATGATCAAAGTGAAAGATAATGAAAATTTATATGAGTATTCTTAATATGCAGGTGTAAATGAATATGCATTATCTGGTTGGGTTAAATGGGGAGGTGATTAGAAACAAGGAGGATTATTTAGTATATTGATGATGGTTTAGAAGAAGTAATAAGATATTAAACCAGGATAAAGTGATAGTTAAATGTATGTATAAAAAACTGATAAAGATTATATATTTGGAACATATAATTGTAATGGAGAAGATTGTTCATAATCTTAGGAGAAGAATATTGAATTTAATGAATATTATAATTAATGGACATTTATTTATATTGGATATACATAAAAATAGAAAAAGTTATTTGGATTATGTAAATTCACATTTAATTAATAATAATAAACATTTTAAGAAATTAATAGAATATTATTGTCAACATTTACAATATTTTTGGGAAAGAAATATCAATTAGCAAATTAATGGTTAGGTTCAATGAAATAATGGGTATTGAATGTTGGAGATGGTTCTTATTTAGAAAGTGGATATGAATAAAGTGAAACTGTAGAATTAAATTTTGGATTTAATAGTGGAACTGATCATTTGAAATTGTAAACAGCAAATCAAGAAATAGATCATAGTGATAAAGTTATAGATTCATAAGCAGATAAATAAAATATTCCATGGATGATTGAATTAAATGAGTAATCAGATGTTAAAATAGAAGGAGTAAGTTCATATGGTTATGGTATGTGGATAAGATTCAGATATTATGGAGCAAGTATTCTCTATAGTCAACCTAAATGGATGGGATTGAGTAGATTGACAACCAATAGAGATTATAGAGATGCTGATAATGTTGGTGATAGAGTATTAATGATACTATTTGGAAAAGGAGAAGATGAAAAATCATAAGGAATATTCTAATTTTCAACTTATACAATAGGTTAACCTAATATCTTCAGTAATCTATAATATTAAATGGAATATGAATCTGAATGGGTTTATATTTATTATAGTTATAAACGAATATCTTAAACTTAAGGTGTTGCTATGGGATATATAGGGAGAATGGATATTGTAGATGAATTAAAAATAGATGCATTACATAATCCTATTAGTAATTATGCACAACTTACAATTGGACATAGTGGAAAATATTATCCAAATTTTAATGGATAGTTGACAGGTATCAAATTTAGATTAGGGAATGGTGCCTTTGTTGAAACTAAGAATGATATATTATAAAGAATGAAGAACACAGACTTAATGCCTTCAGTTCCTTATGATGTATCTCATAAATATACAATTATTGATGGAAAAATAGATAATTATAAAGTAATTCCAAATAATCCTTAAATGATTGATTTTCCAGCTAATGAATATTCTTTGGCTTTATGGTATAAGTAATTCTAAAAAATTAATGACAACAAAGAAACTGTTGTTCGAATTACTCAAAATCCTGTGGGTAAAGTATCTGATTCTTCTTGGATTGGTGATAGAACACTTGCCTTTTTTAAGATAAATAAAGATAATATGGAATTCTCAACTTATACTCTATTGAAAGGTATGAACTTTGGTATTCCATATAATTGTTAAATACCAGAACTTAGTCAACACAATTGGTCATTCATTTATATGGGATATAGTAAAAGCAAATAAAAGTTCTATTACTATCTTTCAGTAGATGAGTAAATATGTAAAAGTGAAGAAATTATCCTACATGCTATAAGTGATAGACTCTGGATTTATGTAGGTAGTGATAATATTCAATAAAGATTTGAAGGCAATTTAGCTTAAATTGCACTTACAATAGGTCCAGGTTCATATACTAATAGTAAAATACCATTTTTAGCTGAATATCTAGTTGCTGACAAATTATTCCCTAAATAAAAGAAAATTACATGGGAAAAGAATGAATAAGTAATGTTAGTATCAGATGGTGATGAAAGTATAAGTTCTCTGAAAGTTGAGTTATTTAATGGATTCTAATATCCATTTGATTAAATGTAAGAATATGGTTTTGGTATGTGGACTCGTTATCTTACTACTATTCCTTAAAGATAATTATCTAAACCAGCTTTAATGTAATTAGCAAGATTGTCAATAAATAAATAAACAACAGATGGTGTAATTAAAATAGGTGATAGAGTTCTAGCTACACATATTGTATTTAATTATTATTAATTATCAACCTATGATCTGAATACTGATACTGGAATACAATAAAAATTTATGAAATATAATCAATTGGAAGGTATTTGGAGATATATTTATATGGGTTACAGCAAAGATATTGAGACTATTTCATGTTATACATATGATACAACAATAACAGAAATTAAAATAGACAAGATTTTACATAAACCATTAACTGATTATTTATTATTTAGGATTGGAAAGGAGGATACAATAATAGGGTTTTAAGGAAGTATTACAAAAATTATGTTATCTCTTGGTCCTGGTTCATACATAAGACAATAAGATCAATTCAAATCTTAAATAGAGACTACTTTCTCTTTGCCCTTTTAATTGACATAAGAATATACTGATAAGGAGAAACATGGGAAATTTGAAATTATTGAAGATGTGAATTAGATTGATATTACTAATGGAATATAATTTGAAGGTAATAGATGGAGTGGAATAAGTGAATATGCTTTTAGTGGTTGGATTAAACCAACTGGTGCAGGTTCTATAGATTGTTAATTAATTTTAAGATTGACTAATAATAATGCAGAAATTTTGAATGATAGAAAATCTTAAGGAGATAGAACATTACACATTACTATTTGTAATACTCAATTAATTAAATATTCTACATATACATTAGTAGATTTAAAAGATGCAAATGAACCTAAATTTATGGATGGTTAATTAGAATTAAATGATTATAATTATGCTTGGAATTATATATATATGGGTTATAATTAAAGAACAAGAGAAGTTCATTGTCTATTACATACATTAATTGAAGATAAACCAATAACATGGGAATAAGTATAACATTTTGTTCCTAATTATTTGGGATTGTACATTGGATAAGATAAATTTACAAATAAATTTATTGGATAAATGAATAAATGGACAGCAGCATATGGATTAGGTGGTTTTGTTAGTTTAAAGAAGAATGGTTATTAATAACTATTACCATATTATGGTCTAGTGTAACCAAATAAATAATTTTAATGGAATTCTAATAAAGATACTGTCATATAGACTCCAGAATTTATCATATAAGAATTTACTAATGAAATAGATTCAATAACTGAATATGCAGTAGGTATTTGGACTAGATGGTTAACAGATTTTCCTGACCATTTAGTAGAGAGAAAAGATTCTCATTCTATTTTTAGATTAACTGCTAAGAAAGAACATTAAGACAAATCATAAATATAGGATAGAGTATTGAGTGCATTTTTAATTAAGGGATCATATGATTTTAGTAGTTATGATATAGCAACTAATAACTTTGCTGCAAATAGTTTGGCTGCATATGATTAGATAGAAGGATAATGGAATTTTATATATATGGGATATAAAGATGGTTAAACAGTTGGTATAATAATAGTAAGAGATACAGCTAAAGCATTGAAAGTAGAATTTGCAACAAAACATATACCTTTAGTAGGATATGCTAAATTTTTGATTGGTGTTTCTGAATTTGGACATGGTTAATTTCATGGGTGGTTATATGATCCTCGTCTATATTTAGGATAAGGTAGTTTTATTAATGAAAGTTAGAAGGTTGTAGATTTACTATAAAAAATTCATCGTAAATTACCCTTACCTGCAGTTGATTTAGCTGATTTTAAATGGGCAATTCCTTAGATGGATACAACTGAAAATATAAAAACTGGTTTTATAGATTATAAATTTGAAGATAAATAAGAATCTGTTGAATATTCATATGGAATGTGGATATAATAGTCTCCTTTATTACCTGGTATGCCTACAGTTCCTCGATTAATTGCAAGATTATCAACAAATCATCCTTAATTTATGAAAGATTTACAATTAGGTGATAGAACACTTTTAGTTAGTATGTTAAATGATAAATTGAGTTATAATACTTATAAATTACTCGACACTCCATAATTTGAATAGAAAGTGGAAGAGATCCAAGTTGAATAATTATAATGGACTTATGTATTTTTCTAATACAAGAAAGGAAATGCATTGGCTTATGCATTATAAGTGAAATAAGCATAATAAAAGAAGATCGAAGCTCTTCATGTTATACCAAATGTTTTTTATTTCTATATTATAAAAGACTAAAATTTTGCAGAATTCTATGTATAATTTCTATTTAATTAATTTAGGGGAAAGTAAGTGATGTGAAAGTTTACTTTGGCTCTAGCAGTTACTTTGAAGATCCATAAGTTACAATAGAGAAATGGCCATTTGATAAGAAATATTTATAGCCAATATCTGAATAACCTATTAATAATCAACAAATAACTTCAGCAAAAATATCTAGAAATATGGATATCAAAAATGAAAAATACATTGGAGATTATTGATTAAATATGATATATAATTAAAATTAAACTAATGAATTTAAATCAAGATAAATTTGAATTTAATGATATATTCTATATTATTTCTAATCTAACAACTACATTAAATGTTTATCTATTAACAGGATTAATATAATTTTATAAAATAAAGTAATTAGTATATTATATCATGTATACAAATAATGTTTTGTATAAGTAATACAATTTAATAATATTTATAAATAAATATTATACATTAAAAAATATATTATATAAATAAGAATCATTATTAATATCTTTAATTTATTAATACATTCTTTCAATATTTCATCTATATCTTAGATGTTCATTATTCTATATATATATAACTAAATAATCTATAAAATTTCATTATGATTAATTATAAAACTATAATAATATATGGAAGTATTAAATAATTATGATTAGGGGAAATATTAATATAAAATAATCTTAATATAAACTTTATAGATTTTGTTTATCTATTTTCCACAACCCATAAAATTCTTTTAAAACCTTCTATAATTTGAATGATTGTTTTAATAGAAGATTAATCCTCTTGTTTTTGAGATTTATATGTCTTATACTTAATTAAAAATAATTAAATTAGTTATATGATCATAAGTGATGATATTAGATAATTTGGATATATAATTATTGAGTAGGAATGCAAATTATATTTAAGATTAATATTCACATGTTCTCTGATACATATGTCTCAATTAATTGCTAAAATAAATTCTTAACACCTTCTCCTGTTTTGGCAGATGTTTCATAGAATATCATACTATTCTACTTTGCAAAATCTGTAGCCTTAGCTTTTGGTACTTTTCTTTCAGATTCTAAGCAATCACATTTATTGCCTACTAATGCCAGAGCCATTCCTCAATTATGTTAATTATTCTTACCATCTTTTTAGATTTTTTCTTCTAATTCTTTAAGCCAAGTTGAAACAGATGAAAAGGAATCACTTTATGTAATGTCATATACAATAATAGCAGCATTTGCATCCCTATAATACAATGAAAGTAGAGATCTAAATTTCTCTTCACCTGCTGTGTCCCATAAATGGATCTTTAAGTTTTAACCTATCCATTTAGATACTATTATAATACCTTTCACATTCATCTCCACACTATTGTATACTCCACCAATCGTTATTTCATATTCTGATTGAAACTATTATATTTTTTTAAACAGACTAGCATACCTTATCAAAACAGAATCTTGAAGCAATAGAACTTTTTCCTACAGCCTTATCACCAAGCATCACTACCTTAATGTCCTTCTTTTATCCAGGATTATTTGATTTTGTTTTGATACCTGCCTTAGGTTAATTCTTTGGTTAATTGTCTCCACAACACATAAATATTTTTATGTAATTTATAGAATTCTTAATTTCATAACTATTCCCTAAACCTCCTTTCAAAAATTCTATTCGTCCTAATAGAATTAAAAAGGGTAATTCAATCAATCTAATATGTTAGAATAAGAAATTTGTCAATCTTTATAATTGAATTGGATCTCAAATTCTAATATAGATATTATTGAATTTGATTCATAAGGATGCAGAACTTAAATTAAATTAAATGAGTTATATCCTTTCTCACAACCTTAATTAAGATTTTAATTGGATGATGATTTCTACTCTATAAAAAATCTTAATGATTACAATTAGTATGATTATTATTACAAAGTACTTAAATGGACTCCTCAATTAACTGTGAATTAGATTATTGAAAAGTATAATCAATTAATATAATTTAGATCACATGAATTCATTAAAAAGAATATTTTCATCAAATAACCATACACTTTAGATCCTTATTCAGATTTACTTAGTAAAATTACTAAATCTTCAAAATCATTAGATTTATCAATCATATTCATATTTTTACTTATATCCCTTTCTAATTTGATACTCTATCTACCAAATTATGAAGAATAATAATAATTAATGGAAAGAACAGTCTTATTTGGATAGAATACATGGTATAATCAATTTTAATAATTACCACTATCACCACTAAAAGCTTAATTTTATTGTCTAATTGGATTGATTGTTAATGTCTTTGATTCATCTAAGTTACATGTATTCAAATAACAGTAAGAATAAATCAATTAACCCTTCTTTCATTACTTAAATTTAATTATAAACTTACTAATCTTTTACTGTCCCTTATACTTTTTATTAAAATCCAAATAGTTTAAAATCAATAAAGAAATTTTATAAGGAATATTACTTTATTAAATAATATGTCCTACATTTTTAGGAATATGGAATATTATTGAAAGTAAATAAATTATCATTTATTTATAGTATTAATGGCTTTATGTATTTTTATTATTGCAGAGAATGTTTGGTTTGGCTCAATTTTATATGTAATAGCAGTCAATTATGAACCATAATGTCTCTTATTATATCCTATAATATCAACATACTGTTTAGGTAGATTATGTTAATAACATGGAATCATTACTAAAAAGAATATCAAAGTAATATTATTTTAATACATATAGCCTAATTTTTAAGGTCTCTAAGAATTAGTAATTGAATTGATATTCTTAATTTTAGTACTGATAATTGTTTAATGCTTCATTTTAATTCCATTTTATTTTAGCTCTTCATTGTCTTAAGCTATATATCCATCTACATTTATAAATTATTTCAATTCATTGTTTAATCATGAATTTTACAATTTTATAATATTTGGATTTGCATTTATTTTTTCATTTCCTGCTTTAATGTTAAGTTTTTTAAATGATAAATATTGTGCATTAGGTGTGTTTAATGTCATAATAATTATTAAATTGTTTGATATTGCTAATGGTATTACAACTTAAATGTTATCAGTATTTTTAATGTTGAATTTTAAATATTTTAGATAGATTATAAATTACATAATAATATTAATGCCTCAATAAAATTGGATATTCAAATTATTGTATTATATTTTTGGAGATTTATTTATGTAAAGAAACAATTAATTGATTGATACTCATAAACATGGATAATATTAATTTTAATCCTTAAGAAAATTAGGATTTTATGTAATTTATTTATATATATAGTATAGATATTATTATTATCTTAAATTATGTATATTTATGATTTAGAGATGATAATGTATAAAATATGTTTGGTTATATTACTAATAAATTGTTTGTTCATAATTTAATAGAAGATTGTTAAGGTCATGAAAAAAGCTAAAACTGATTGAAGTAATGTATTTTATAATAAAGAGTATTATTTTAATTTAAATTAACTTTATTAGTAATTATAATTAAAAAATTAAATTAAAATCATATATCTTTTATAAATTTAAAGTTTTCAGGTTCTCTTAGTGCTCTCAATAAGTTTTATCTATATTTGAGATGCCAAGCTGTATTTGAAATTCTTGAATTGTATACGTATGGAACTGCCTAATTTTTTAGAAAGTATTGGCTTAATAGAAATATATATATATAAATACCTTATGATTCGAAATACTTTATTAAATTCAGGATTTTTACCATTATCTATCCAAAGTTCTCTAAGTTATTTAATATTTGTCATTTGATTCTTTTTACTCTTTAATAAACTAATAAAGCTATCCTATTGTTCGCTAGTGATAAATTTTTAAATTAATTTTTCATCATTTAGAATATAAGATATTATGGCTTTTGAAAAATTTTTCGTTATATTCTTAGTATCATTGACTTTAGGTCCTTTCTTTCTACGATTAATTCTATAGGAATCTGAACTCTCTTACACTGGTACTCTTTTTCTAATACGTTTAGCTAATTTTTATTCATTTTTTAATTCTTTTTATTCATTCTAGCTCTAATCTTATTCTTCTAAATCTAGACTTTGACAAGAATTTGCATGTCTTAACCATTTGTCTTATTCTTTATTGAAATAATTTTAAGACTAATCTTGTTATTGTTAATTTAAAGAAGGAGGTTTTACAATAGATAGTTAGGTCTTGTTGATTGGATTGATTTTAGCCTATTTATCAAGACTATTATTTGATTATCGTGGTAATTCATTTTAACATTATTAGGGTAAGTAAGGATAACAGGATTGCATAGGTGAATTATAAAAGAAAGGCATCATCGAAGCAAAAAAACGACTCTAGGATTGTAAGACATCAAGTTATCTTTGCATCGATTTACTATCAATAGAGCTATTTACAAGAGGTCCTACTATTTTACAGTGATTTAATAAGTATTCATTAGTTCCATCCTATGAAACTCTTTAAGAAGTATCAAAAGGAGTAAAAGATGGATTGTAAAAAAAGTTTGTTTAAAAGGGTTGATCAGTTGACATCTATTAGACCTAAGGGTCATTTGAAGTTTGGACTTTTAAAAGTGGTCTAAACTATCTCAGAGGATCAATTGATGCTTCAACTGAAACAATTTCTGGAGGTTTGGCAACATAAGGTGTAAATGATTTGACATTCTTTTTGACGCTTTCAGACATTTTTAATTCCAAAAAAGTTATGAAATAAATAGATAAGGAAGAAAATAAATAAAATTCAAATTGTTTAATTGTAAGTTTATTTGAGAGCAATAATCTCTTGCTACAAAGAAGCAATATATTTCAATAGTACTCTTTCTCTTTTATTGTAGGAATCTAAAATTAATTTCATCTTATTATGGATTGCTTAAAATTATTTATTGAGTCTTTAATTTTATGGGGCTCTCTTCTTGGTTGTATTTGTTTAGGAATCTGCTATATCAGAGTAATCAAGTGATCTAGTAATTTAATGTGGATCTATAAATTTCCTATAAATTTTTGATGATTGCTAAGAAGTAGTCTTTTGAGACAGAGCAAGTCTAGGATTCTTTCTATCAATATTCTTAGAGCTTAATATTTTAAGTTGTTTTTACGGATAATGGATAGAATGTATGGCTTAATTTTGAATCTTGATGGCTCCGCTATATAATGACTTAGCTCTTGCTTCTTATATTCTTTCAAAATCAATTGTTTTAAATGCCCATTCAGATATAGTCTAACATCTCTATTTGGCCTTGAATCTAATGTCTTCATCATAGTTCTTTTTTTTCATCTTTTCTATTTATTTGTATTACAATAAGTATTGAAATAATTATTATAGTATTTTGATTACATATTGATTATCAAAAGCTTATTGCAAGCCTATCAATAAACTCAATCTACTCAAATAGCTTTCTCTGAATAGATTATAAATCAAATTTAATTATGATATATTAATAAGTATCAAATTAGGAAAATATCTCGTACTTTAATAATGAATTTATCCAAAATGACACTGCATTCTTATATACATTAATATCTTTATCTTGTTCACAATTTGATATGAATTAGATTGAATAAAGAGTCAATGAGTATCTTGATTAAATCGAACTTCAAATTACTGATCCTACATAGAAGTAATAAAGCTATTTTGAAAATGTCAGACATCATATCAAATCTTATGAACATAGATGTTAAAATGAATAAGAAGCTATATCCCCCTATTCTCTTAGAGAAATTTGTACTCCCACTCAATAAATGAGAACATGTTACTCTAAATCTGATGAGTTGTTGAGACTGAATTCCTTTCATCGAAACAACTTGCATATAATTATTCATTGCAAGAAGTAGATGGCTTAATCATGAAGAAAATCTATTCACAATTTGTAATATTAATTATATATGAATCATTGCGACAATTACTTTCAACTCTCTGAGACTGACAACTAAAATATACAAGCCATTAAATCTAAATGGCGATTCCAGAACAATTCCATTCATGGGTAACCAAAACTAAAAATTGATTTTGAAGAACAACCTTAAAAATCATTTCAATTACCTGATGTCTTTTTGACAACAAGATAAAATTAACATCAAGTTTAATATTGTCATATGACATAGCAATCATTTCATGAAATCCCTAAAAAAAGTAGAAAAGGAAGCAATATAAGTTTAAGCAGTTTAGAGGTTTCACCGAAAATTCCAATATTAAATAAAAGCAAACAAGAGAAATTTAAAGAATTATCAGATTTACAAAAGAGTTATTCTTAATACAAGTATATCTATTATTATTATATCTAACAGAAAATCATTTCATAAAGTTAAACATTAACAATAAACATAATAATTCAATACATCTACATATTTATAATAGGAATCATCATTTTTGTTCAATGGAGTTAAGTTACCATACAGTTTATATATGATTAATAAGAATAGACAATTAGCTATTAGTAATATAATGTAAAATGCAAATGTCCAATTGAAAGAACAATCCAAATAATAAATCGAGATGATCGACAATTAAATAAAAAAAGTTCGTAATATTGGCCCTTATTTAAGGGAGTGAACATCAGAATAGGTAAAAAGTGAAAGAATACAGAAGCCGATCGTATTTATAAAATGCCTATTATTCAATGTTGTGTGTGAATTAGGACTCCAAGAGGCGTCTAAAGAAAATTATTTAAGGAAAATTTCCAATGGAGTCTAGATTTTAACAGTTATGAAGAAATAAAATAAATATAATATTTGTTAATAATGATTACTACACCAGATATAAATGACTCTACATTTCATGAACTCTAAAATGAGATATAATGTCTTAAATCTGAGAAAGAGGAATTCAAACAAACTTTGTTAAAATTATGGATTCAGATTTCAAAGACATTAAATGATGACTTTGAAGAAATATTGAAGTTAGGCATAAATTCAGATATTGAGGATATTATGAATGCAATTTTTATTGTAGAAGAAGCAAGACAAGAATAAATAAATGTATTTATATAATATTAATAGTTTTAGAATGAAAGAAATTAGATTGTTGCTTTGAATGAACAATTAAAATCACATAAGAATACTACAGATTCAGGAAATGAAGAATTAAAATAAGTAGAAAAATAATATAGAGAATTAAGTGAATTAGTTTTATAATTAAAATAATAGAATGTAGACAAAGATCTTTAAATTTCTATTTTGAATGCAGAAACTAATAAACTTAAAATGGAGATTACATAATTATCATCTAAATTAAATGATTTATCAGCAGTTTTAATATAAGCAAAGGAAGAAAAAATTAAATATATGGAATAAACATAAAATTAGATTAAGGTGTTGATGGAAAAAGATTTACACAATAGTAGACAGATATAAATGTTATAAATATAAAAAATTGAACTAGAAAATAGTTTAAAAAAGTACAATTAAAAATATACAAATGAATAATCTAACATTATGTATTGTTAAACTTAAAAAGAAGAAGATTAAACTAGAATGCTTAGTTGTTCTCCAAGTACTTTTTTTACTTTCATATTTAAGGAACTACACATATAGATTTTTCAAAAATTGTATAATAAAGTTTACATAATAAGAAGGCTGAAATGGTATCAGGATCTTCGCTTTCTCAAATTCCCTATAGATTTGGTAAATGATAAACGTTAATAATTATTAAATTTTCAAATATAAATATTATAAGTATGCAAAAAACTCCAGAGAAGCAAGAATTAAGTTAGGCTTTGCTTTTGTCTATCAGTTAATATTCATGGGATAAATAAATTAGATTAACAACAGATGAGGATGTATTATGTAGTTATAGTAAATTCTCAAATGATCAAGGAGTATGATTTTAATTATTAAATACTTTAGAGTTATTGTGAGACAAAGAAAGATTAAGGAAATGTGTTCATTAAAAAATGCAATCAAGTTCAAATAGATGATGTATAAAGCTAAGAAAATAAATAATTATTATTAATCTTGAGAGAGAAAGATAAAAGAATTGAAGAATTAGAACACTATTAAGTATGGTTGTAAGAATAGAATGAGAAATTGAAGTTGAATTAGCAAATGATGATGTAAATTTCATCTGAATATTAGTGAAGATTAATCAATGAATTAATTGCAAAGAGACTCATCATCAAAAAGACATCTATAAAAAATAGAAGATCTAGAATTGCAGATTAGTTAATCAGAATAATAATATCATAAAAGTTTGAAAAGTCTTGGTTAATTGGAAAAAGAAAATTCTACTTTAAAAACTAAAATATTTGAATATGAATAAAAGTTATTCTAATAGCAACATCAATAAAAAGTAACAGAATAAATAAATGAAGTAATATTTTTATATGATTTATTAATAGTAATAAAAGTTAAAATATGAAGAACAAGAATAAATAAATTAATCTAAAATTTATGAGTTACAATAATACATATAATCACAAGAATCTTATATTAATAAATTATAACATGATGTAATTTATTTATAAATATTGTTTATAGGTATAATTATCTAGAAAGAATTCTAAAGAAAACATTAGTAAATAATATAAATCTGTTGTTTTAAGAGAAAAATCACCTCAATTAAATTAGTATGATTAACATTAAATGAATAAATTTGTTGAATGTATTGTTGATATGGTAATGAATTGTACTTTAAGTTAAGCTTAAACTAAACCAAGGTAATAATTTAATTTAATTATATAGTTTGAAAGAATGTTGGAAATGGCTTAAAAATATATTAGAAGAATATATGATATTGAAAAAATAAATTCTTTAAGATACTAATAAAACTCATTCTACCAAATCCAGTTAATTTGTAGGTAAGGAAATAAATGGAGAAAGAAAAAGAGATCATAGTTTTTTTAATGATTTGAATAGGAGATTTTAGACATCTGTTGAGGATTCAGAGAACAAATATTTAAGATCTAATACTCTTTTAAGTAGAGTCCAGAAATGAATTAATTATTGTAGCTGGTTTTAATTAAGATTTTATAAAATATTAATTGTTAATTATTTAATGGAAAGATTATATAATTATTTTAATTATAAATTCAAAATTGAATTAAGTTTCAATTATATTTGATATACTTAAAATCAGATAATTTTTTTTGTATATCAAGTTCTTATTTATAAGAGGATATATTACTAAAATATAAATATAATAATTATACCCAAAATTGATATTATTTTCATGTTATTTAGTAGTTATTTATTATATTTCATTATTAAATAATTTTTATTTAAGTATTTTTATTGATTCTTCATTTCTTCTAGTTATTTATTCTAATTATTCGAGTTTTTAAAGAGATAAATATCCATACTAAATTTTAATTTAATATTTACATCCTAATATTTTCTACTTTCAGAAATAAAATCAAATAATTAATTCTATATATTTCTATTAAATAAATCTAATTCATCTTATCTTTATTTAATTTTTGAAATATCTTTCTAAATCTCATTCATCTAATATTCCATTTTTCTAAAAGAATCTTATTATTCTATATTTATTTTCTTTTTTTAATCTACTTTTAATAAATTATTCAATAAAAAGTTTGATAATTCTATTTTTTATTTCTCTTGACCATCAATTTATTATTAAGCTGATTTTTATTTTTAACTATTCTATTTACTATTATTATTATCTGTTTTTTTTCTATCTGGAGTTAAACTTGATGAAATATCTATTTTATTTGATTAATGGAGAATTTAGCTATTTTTCTTTTGTAATTCATTAGTAAAACTAAGATGCTTTTTTTTATTTTAACTTTCATTTAGTGTTTTTTATGCTATTTCTTTTATTGGATGACTACTTTTAATCATATATTAAATTGATGAGATAATGTTTGTACAAGAATTGGAATTTATTAGATTTTCTTTTTGATCTTATGAATAATTCTTTTTATTAGATAGTACACAATCATTTATACAATTCTTCTTTTCAGAATGATGAGATTATTCTGTTGAAGACCCAATATCAGTTTATTCAGGTATTTAGAATAACATATTACCAAAGCTTTGATTTTTATGCAAATTTTTATGAGAATTTTATTCAACCAATCCAACTATTTTAGAATTCATTATTTATTAAAAATCATTATTAGACTATGCTCTTCTATGATTGTTTTTCCCCTTATTCATTCAAATTCAAAAAATAAAATTATTGATTTTATAACAATTATTTTGTATATAAATAATATACAATTTGAGTTAAAAGAATTATGTTATCCTCTAAAATTATAAATTGTATTTATATATATAAATTCTAATTAATAATTATTAAAGGTCAATCAGTAATTATATTCATATAATAATATCAAATTATCTAAGCATGTCTAATATATTAATTATTAAATCACAAATAACATAAATATATTGATTAAAATTTATACTTTGATTGAATATTATTTAATATTAATTCTAACCAACAAAGGAAAAATTTAATTTAAAATTTTAGAAGAAATGAAGTTTTCAACATCCTAGATAATGAGCAATTCATAAATCAGATCAGAATCACCGTCATTCTAAAAAATGTAAGCTTTAGCAGATAAATGGACTTAATTAAAAGCTGGAATAGATAGAGATAAATTTGAAAAAAAAGAAATTATTGATGCATCACTTTAAAAGATTGATAGTTTATTAAATTATGATAAAATAAAGGATGAGGATAAGTTTAAAGTAATTTATAAACAATAATAATAGACACTCAAAGAATAAATTTTAAAACTTAGTGATCAAATTAATAATGAGAAATTTGGGAAAGAACATTATGTTAGATATTAAGAATAATTACAATAATTTGAAGAATTAATTAATAAATAATTAGATGAAGAAAAAAATGTAAATATAATTAATAAATTAAAATAGAGTAAAAGAAGAGTAGAAATGTAGTTATTAAAATAAATAGAAGATAGATTTGATACAGTTCATGGAATGCTTGAAAAAAATAATTCAATTTATTATGATAAATTGAATAGATAAATAGGAGATGTAAGCAATTAATTAAAAGATCTAAGATATACTATTGAAAATGAATAATAAAATAGGTATTAATTATATTATATATATATATTAGATCTGACTCATAAACTCATTTAATAGAACAAATGGATCTAGAATTAAATAAGTTTTAGGAAATGATGTCTATAGAAAGATCTGTAAGAGAAGAAACTGAAAAAAAGATATTTTCTATGATAGAAGAGGTTCATTAAAAAATTTAATAAGAAATTTAAGTTGAAAGATAACAAAAAGAAAAATCTCATGAGAGCATTCTAAAATTATTAGAATAAACTTGTATCAAAATAGATGAAAGCTTTAATTAATGAATATAATTATTTATTATTTTATTAGAAATAAAATTCATATTTGTTTAATCTTTTATATAAATAAATTAAATAAAATATCAAAAATCAATGATTTCAACTTAAGTACCAGGTTTTCCCCACAATTACACACAAGGACAAAGATCATCAGCAACTTCCAATTTCATAGACTAATAATATATTTCTTATATTTTACATATTCTTCATTAGTAGATTATTTAATCCAAGTTATTTTCTATTCATTTATATTTACAATGACTTATATTATATCATTCTTTCCATATTTAAATGATTGTTTAGTATAATTCTTTTCCTTTTCTAAATGTGAGTAAACAGAACCATCACAAAAAATTAAATAAGCTCTAAAATTATTATATTATATATATACCCATGACCAAGTTTATTTAATTTGGGATTGAAATTTGCTATTTTTATTAATTCTTTTCTACAAACACCAATATAAATTCCATCTTCATGGCATTTGAAAGCAAATTTAGTTGAAACATTCAATGGTAATACTGGTTCACAAAGAGCAAATAGATCACCTTAAGCAATTGATTAATTGTTTGTAAGTGTAATTTCTTCATATTTTAATTCTTATGAAAATCTAAAATGAATTTTAACACATTTATCAATCTCTTTTTATTCCTCTATTTTAATATCATCATCTTTAATTAAATATGTAGAATTCAATTAATTTTAATATTCTAATTCTTCAATTGACAACTATTAATTTTGGCATACTTTTTATATAATATTATATACATTCCTTATTTAAAATTAAACTCTCAATCTCCTTCTTTAATTTCTCTTAAAAATTAATTAATGATTTAATTTTTGGAATCAAATTAACTTAAGACTTTTCAAGAAGTATGAGTTAATTAATATACACTTCTATTTCTGAACAACTCATAGATTCAAAATCTGGTTAATTATTTTAATCTAAATTTCCAACTAAACATTTTAATGCTTTTTAAAAGGATTAACATTCATTTACAAGTTGATTCATAGGTTCAATCAATTATCTTCTGCTTTTAACCCAACTATCGAATTCATTAAATCTAATCAAATCATCAGAATGTTCCTTATGAAATTAAGGTTTGCAAGCAACACAAAAAGCTCTTTTATGTTTGCAATTTTGATTAGTACATACTCCTATAATTGGACTATTCTCATGCTCTTCATAACAACAAGTTAATAAGATTGATGATCTCATTAATATAAATTATATTGAATAATAAAAATAAAATGATTTTTATGAATTCATCAATGTTAATATAGAATTGAATTTCTATCATTATTTTATAATAAATTTATGTAAAAATCTAGTTTTTTTTATTTCTAAAAAGTTAATTTTTAAATTCTTAAAGATAATTTTCAACAAAATATTAGATATAGAAGATTATATATTAAATTTGAATTATTTCTTAACGTATTAATAATATAAATAAAATAGTATCATAAATGTTTATTATACTATAGCTTCCATTCTTCACATTCTCTTGATTTCATCTCAAATTAATACAATATTGTTTTATTTTAAGTTTCTAATAATTCAATTTTAGATTCCATTTATCTTTTCATTTATTCAAATTGTGATTTACTTATTTCTTCTTTGACTTATTCTTATATTTAATTTTGTTTTTGTAATTCAATAAGTTTTTACTTTTAAGATTCTAATTCATTTTATAATCTTTAAATCAATAACTAATATATATATAATATAATTTACATTATTTTCATTATTTTTTAATGCTAATTCTCCTCTATACTATCTAGCATCATCTAGTTCATTTGATCTCTATTCTAATAATTCTGTTAATTAATCAATTTAATCATTTAATTGTTAAATTTCTTAGTTTTATTCAGTTATATCATTTTCATATAATGATTATAATTATTAATATTCATTTTGTAATTTATTTAATTATTATGATGAAGTTTCATTATGTTAATTAAGTGTGTCTAAAGTAACTTATAATTCTTGATTTAATTCTTAATTTTCACATAGTTATTATGAAGTAATTTCCAATTAAGAATTTAATTATGAATTTTCTTAAAATAATTTATTTTTCTATTATTCATATTCAATTTTAAGCTCTTAAATTAATTTTTTATATTTTAATTCTAAATCTTATGTACTATTTTAATGTTATTCTTAAAGATAACAATTTTATTCAACCTAGGATTATATTTCATCTTATAAACCTGATATTAAATCTAAAATTAATTTGAAATTATACTTTATGATTCTTAAATTTATTAGTTTAACATATTAATTTCATATTACATTTAACTAATTTTATGAATTAAACATTCTTTTTCATTAAGAAATTCTTTTTCTTGTTATTTAATAGTCTATTCAAAATGTTAATTTTATTTATTTATTTCTTTCTTTTTCTCATCTTCTAAATCTTATTATTTTATTTTTTATGCTTCTAATGATTAAATTAATGTCTTTTCTCCTGTTTTAATCTCATTTATAATATTATCTAATTATATTATTTCTTATTTCTAAAATTCAATTACTTAATTTCTTCTAATTAATTCATCTTATAATTTTTAGACTTAATCATCCATAATTTACATCTATTCATAATGTGTCTATTAAATTTCTTATAAATTTTAATTGTAAATCTGATCTTTTTAATATAATTATAAAGATGCATCTTAATCTAAATTAATTTTTTCCTTCTATGCATACTTTAATTCAGACTAATAATCATTCAATTATTATTTATAGATATCTAATTATTTATTTAATTTTTATATCTAAATATCTTTCTCTTTCATTTTATTAATTAAATCATCATTAATATTCTTATAATTTTTAAGTTCTATTGTTAATTAATCTAAATGATTTTCATAATCTTTAATTCTTTAAACTGAATTTGTAGATATACACTTAAATTATTATTTATTAATATACTCTTTATTCTGCTTATTCATATCTACGTTTCCAATTATTTATTTCATGTTATTGTAATTCAACTAAGTTCATGAGTTTCTTAATTTCAAAATCAGGATTTATAAAACTATTACTCTATTTCATATCCATATCAATACTCTTCTCAAATTTACTTGTATAATGAGAATTTCTTAAACTCTATTAAGATTTTTGATTTGTAGAACCTTATTTATAAAATTACTAAATTACCCTATTACATCTCATTATAATGAGGACTCTTTGATTATGTGTGTTATGATAATGCACTTCTTGTTTTGGAAGGAGATGAAGCTGATATAGGTTTTAATAATTGAGACATTTGGTATAATTCTAACAGACAATTAATAATATTTTATCATAAAATCAAATTGATTGTATTATCATTAATATTACCAAATATTAATTCAATTATTATTATACAAACCAATGGGATGTGGATCAACAAATCAAAAAAGAACTTCTTTAATAATTATTATTGACAGTCCACCACCTAGTTTACCATCCTCTATGCATATTATAGATCTACCAACTAATCAAACTTTTAATCTAGGTGCCAAACTCCAATAATTTGAAAAATCAAACTTAGCTTTAATGCTTAGTTCCTAACCAACAAATGAGGAAAAGGATTAACAAAAACATTGAAAATAATTTAAAATAGAACTTTTTATATTCATTCTTTTTTATATATGTCCCTATACTTAGCATGAAGGATATAGTACTTATAATAGCATATTTCTGCATTTTATTAACATATGTATCATTCAAAGGTTGCTTCTTCATTTGATCAAGAAATTTTCAGTCTTTTATGATTTTTCCAAGAATAGTTGTTTACTTCGCATTAAAGATATTATTAACAATGTTACTATAATCTTCAGTTATTTATAATAAAAACTTTAAATTAAGAGAAAATCAATTAGTATTCAATTATTAATGTTTAGAACATTTAAAAAATGTAATAAAAATAATAACTAAAGAATATTATCAAAATCTAATTTTAAAATACATGCTTTGTTTTCTTTACTTTTTAATAATTAGAAATTTATTCTTAAATTTTAAAAACAAAGAAAAATTACAATAATTATATTAATTATAATTATATTGATATTGGTGATTTAGAAATTAGAGAAAAAATAAATTTTACTTCATTAATAACGTATATTAATAAAATCGATTACTTAAACTATTTATATATGAACTAATTTAATTTATTAGTTTAAAATAGATCTTTGAATATATGATGATATATTTATTTATATGGAACTCAATTATTTGTTAAATCAAAATTTTAGTATATATTCTATAAAATTTATTATTTCAAATAACCATTATTATTTTATATAAATAATGTTTTTACTTTATATATTATGAAAAGTAAAAAAGTATGTAACATATGTTATATGAATGTTTATCTTAGACTATTTATTATAATCTCTATGTTAATATTATTTGAGCTTACAGTCTAAATCATCTTAAATAATGAGATTTTTAATGATTTCAATCTGATTTTTACATCATTGAATGAAATATTATAACATTTAATAACCTAAGAAAGAGATAATTGAATATTTAATCAATATAAATAATGGAAAAAAAATTTATTGTAATTTTAATTAAAAAATACAAAGCTTCCTCAAATATTAATGGTTTTTTTGATCATATTAATATTAATCAATTAATCTCATATTAATTATTTAATAAAGATAATCAGATGAAAATTGCCTTTCAAAAATGAGATTACATTGTACATTGTTTTATGCATAAATCAAACTAGGTATTTATGAGGATGACGTAAAATAACTTTAATATTCATTAAAATTTAGATGATAATATTATTTGTTTTATATTAAAATTATAGATTGATAATTTGAAAGGACAATGATAGATTAACCTTAAATGAGTTAATTAAAAGAAAAAATAAATAAACTGAATTTAATTCAAATAAATTATAAAACTTTAATTAATTTTTTATATATATATACGTGATTAAGGAAGTGATAATTACGTCATCGNGCATATTTCTGCATTTTATTAACATATGTATCATTCAAAGGTTGCT